ACTCTTGCAACCGGGCAAAAAAAAAAGTTTCATAAAACAATATTAGTTGCTGATAGAAAGGAGAGAGAGATAAATTCCAGCAATAATCAATTTATTCTTTCGTTAAAAAAACACAACTTTTCGTTCATCAGTTTAATAAATAGCACCCCCCTAACAATTTATGTATCCCCATTTTTCTTACACATAATTCCATTCAATTTTTTTGAATTACAAATGGCATAACAATGATAGTTCTAAATATAAATAACACCAAGCAATTCTGGAATTGCACAGCATTTCAAAGAGACTTGTTTAAAACAAACTGCATCAAAATTTTAAACATGATTAAAATTTGTTATGTCAAACTTAAATTCATATGGTTGCCTAAATAAAGAGTTCAAAATATACAACTTTCAGTTTAATAAATTTAACATTTAATTGTTCACAGCATTCTTTATCGTCTAGAATCTTAATATTATATCAAATGTTTTTCTTCTTCATAAAACTTTCTTTTATTTGTATGAACAAAAAATAATGGACATGCTTCATTGACCTCTCATATTTTTCGTCTTCAAAAAAAACAAAAAAAACACCCTGCACATCCTATCAAAATTAACACTCAGCATGTTAATGTAAATTTTGCATTTTGCAACACATTAAAATTTTAAAAGTTCTGATATTTTAGTTTTCCTCTTTTTCTTTCTTTTGTATGGTTAATGGAGTCTCCCGTTTAAAACTTTGTTTTTGTTCATGATGTACTGGACACCGGGGATGCCGATTTCCTCGGGTCTGATTTCTGATTTTCTTCACTGTGGTGTTTGTTTAGCTGGAAAAAAAGAAAATACAAGAAAATCCTTTATAATTTTTGAACATGAGTAGTAAATGCCTTACAATTTTTCCCATGGTTACTGAGATGCCATACTATTTTTTTTTACTTGACTGAAGTTGATACTTTTTTACTTCCTTTGATTTACCCAGTAGTATTTTATGCTAGGACATGATTAAGGTGGAATGCCACACCAACTTTTTATTTTATACATCTTTGAGTCATCCTTTTTGAACAATGGTTTCAGCATTGAAAGACCGATATTAGCTCTTATTATTTTATATGAATTTTTTGGTATTTTTTCAAAGAAATGAAAAAAATTCTTTATATCCAAATAAGTTGTTTTCGAGTTAAAAGTTTGCTGTAAATGAATGCATCATATGAATATCTAATAAAATATGTAAAGAAAGGCTGGTTAGACTTTTTAATTTTTTTTATAAAAAATAATTAATGAAAATAAAGCACATTCTTTGTGAATATTTTTTAAACCTATGGTTAACAAGAGGCCCATGGGCCACATCGCTCACCTGAGCACTAAGGGTAGGAAAAAGTACAAAATAACTTTTTATTGTAAAGTTTAAATCCAAAAGTAGTCCCATGACCAATCATGGATTTGCTAATTTTTAGAAAATGACTGTTAAAGAATTTTCCTATATATATCTTTAAAAACTTTGGTCGGCCATTTTGGCCCTGCCCTACCCCTGGGGGTCATGATTTGAACAAAGTTGAATCTACACTACCTGAACATGCTTCCATATAAATATGATGAATTATGGCTTTGTCATTCTTGAGAAGAAGATTTTTAAAGAATTTACCTATATATTTCTATGTAAAACTTTGATCGGCCATTTTGGCCCCGCCCTACCCCCGGGGGTCATGATTTGAACAAACTTGAATCTACACTACCTGAGCATGCTTCCATATAAATATGATGAATTATGGCTTTGTCATTCTTGAGAAGAAGATTTTTAAAGAATTTTCCTATTTATTTCTATGTTAAACTTTGGTCGGCCATTTTGGCCCCGCCCTACCCCCGGGGGTCATGATTTGAACAAACTTGAATCTACACTACCTGAGCATGCTTCCATATAAATATGATGAATTATGGCTTTGTCATTCTTGAGAAGAAGATTTTTAAAGAATTTTCCTAAATATTTCTATGTAAAACTTTGGTCAGCCATTTTGGCCCCGCCCTACCCCGGGGGGTCATGATTTGAACAAAATTGAATCTACACTACCTGAGCATGCTTCCATATAAATATGATGAATTATGGCTTTGTCATTCTTGAGAAGAAGATTTTTAAAGAATTTTCCTATATATTTCTATGTTAAACTTTGGTCGGCCATTTTGGCCCCGCCCTACCCCCGGGGGTCATGATTTGAACAAACTTGAATCTACACTACCTGAGGATGTTTCCCCAGGTTTCATCTTTCCTGGCACAGTGGTTCTTGAGAAGAAGATTTTTTAAATATGCCACCATATTTTCTTTAATTCCCAATTATCTCCCCTTGAATGAGGGCGTGGCCCTTCATTTGAACAAACCTGAATCCCCTTTACCCAAGGATAATTTGTGGCAAGTTTGGTTGAAATTGGCCCAGTGGTTCTTGAGAAGAAGTCGAAAATGTGAAAAGTTTACAGACAGACGGACAGACAGACAGCTAGACAGACAGACGGACGCCGGACAAAATGTGATCAGAAAAGCTCACTTGAGCTTTCAGCTCAGGTGAGCTAAAAACACCACAAAACTAGTCACAACTGAGGATTTTTTTTTATTTTCAAAAAGAAATTGAAAAGAAATTGAGAAATTTTAGAGAAATTAATTTCTTTAATATTTGGACCTAACCCGATCAAAATCAAACCAATCCCAATCAAAACTATCACAAAATGAATAAAATGCTAATTCATTGCCATTCATGTATTTACAATGAAGAAATCTATTTTATTGTCAGGTTCAATAATGTTTTAACCCTTATTACACCTAATCAGACTAGTGTCTTTGGGGAAATGTTATTTATTTCCAATATTTTTTACAATTATGGTTGGGATCGGTTTAATTTTGATCGGGATTGGCCAAAATTTAAAAAAATTAATTTCTCTAAAATTTGGCCATTTTGTTTCAATTTCTTTTATAAATCTGATTAATGAACATGTTCTCCCAAGTTGTGACTGGTTTTAAGAAAATTTTAACCACAAGTTTAAAAAATATTCACATATTATGCGATTTATTTTCATAAATATTTTTTTATTTAAAAAATTTTAATATCTATACGGCTTTTCTTTACATATTTTATTAGGTATTCATGTGATGCATTCATTTACAGCAAAATATTTACAAGAAAGCATCTAATTTGGACGTAAATTTTTTTTTTCATTTTCTCTGAAAAAATACAATAAAATTCATATAAAATATGTCGACCTTTCAATGCTGCAACCATTGTTTGAAAAGGTTGACCCAGAGATCTATAAAATAAAAAGTTGGTGTGGCATTCCTCCTTAAAATGCCCTTACTATTATTTGACACGTTTGAGAAGATGCCCGACTTTTTTGACAACATTGAGGTGATGCCTTACTATTTCTTTTTCACACAATTAAGGAGGTGCCCTACTTTTGTGACTCGATTAAGGATTGAGGTGCTTCTTTACAATTTTTTTTAAACATGATTAAGTATTTAGGTGCATTGATATTTTTTTTAAACATGATTAAAGCTGAACACTTCTCATAAATAGGCACCATCAGATGGGTATATAAACCGTTCGATTTAGTTACACCCGATTGCGCACTTGAAACCCGTGGCCGACATGTAGTACTCCTTTCGTGGTCTTACATTTTTCGCATTTATTTTTTGTTTTTATGTGCATTTTCTGTTTGTAAATAATGAATTGACTTGTATTTTTCATGATACTTTTGTCCTGTTTTGAAAAAAATAAGTAAAATTTGATAACTTCAACGAGATTGACTAGCAAGCAGTGTAAGGTGTAAGTCTACACTCGTCAGATCTCTACAGTGAAATACATCAAACTGATTAGCGATCTGCTTGTTATATACGGGTTGTAGGGAGAGCGCTGAAGAACGGGAAATATGGCGGACTATGCCTATTTACGAGTAGTGTTCAGCTTTAAGTATCAAGGTGCCTTACCGTTTTTTTTCCGACTTGATTTAGCATGGATGTGCCTGACTTTTCTTTGATGTGATTTATAGCTGAGGTGCCTCACTTTTTTTTTTCGACTTGATTAATTATTGAGGTGTCTTACTATTTTTTTTTTTAACTTGTCAATGAATTGATTAATTGTTGAGGTGTCTTGCTATTTTTTTACTTGAATTGATTAAGTATTGAGGTGCCTTACTATTTCAGAGCTGCCAACATTCTGAAATGACAAATAGTAAGGTTGGGTTTAGGGACCACCTAAGCCCCCTGCCGCTGAAGATGTTTTGTAAATGGACATGCAAGCGGAGGCATGCTTCCAGTTTGTTTACTTTAAAACATTAACATGAATGTGATCGACCTTTTAAAACCGAAACGATGATACAAACAAGCGTCGTAAGAATTATGAATATATTATAATAGTTGAAACTATAGACTGCCAGCTATGAAAATACCGGTATTATAAACCTGGAACGAGAAAAACTGAAATCGGAAGAATATAGAGAGAAATCGTAAGGCGTATTTTAGACGCTGATTTCATATGCCTTACGCTAAAATCGTAAGGGTTGGCAGCTCTGCTCTTTTTGTTGGATATAAGGAGATACCTTTAAAAAATTTTGGACATGATTAAGGATTGTAATGCCTTACTAGTTTTTCTATGAATAAGGATCAAGACCCCTTTTTATTTTTTTGACACAATTTAGGAAAGACGTGCCTTAATATTTTTTTTGCAGGACCTTATGCAGTACTATTTTTTTTAATGATTAAGGAAACTCCTTCTTTTTTAAAAAAAAATTAAGGGTCTAGGTTCCTAATTTTTTTTATGTGAGTAAGGATTGGGGTGCCTTATTAATTTTTTGACATCATTAAGGATTGGGATGCCTTACTATTTTTTTTGACATGATTAAGGATTGTAATGCCTCACTATTTTTTGACATCATTAAGGATTGGGATGCCTTACTATTTTTTGACATCATTAAGGATTGGGATGCCTTACTATTTTTTTTGACATGATTAAGGATTGTAATGCCTCACTATTTTTTGACATCATTAAGGATTGGGATGCCTTATTATTTTTTTGACATTATTAAGGATTGGAGTGCCTTACTATTCTTTTGACATGATTAAGGATTGTAATGCCTCACTATTTTTTGACATGATTAAGGATTGGGATGCCTTACTATTTTTTTGACATCATTAAGGATTGGAGTGCCTTACTATTCTTTTGACATGATTAAGGATTGTAATGCCTCACTATCATTTGACATGATTAAGGATTGGGGTGCCTTATTATTTTTTTGACATGATTAAGGATTGTAATGCCTTACTATTTTTTTGACATGATTAAGGATTGTAATGCCTCACTATTTTTTTGACATGATTAAGGATTGGGATGCCTTACTATTTTTTTGACATGATTAAGGAGATGCCCCTCCTTTCCGCTACAGTTCTCTGGTCCATATGGTGGAGAAATTCTGACGTCGTCCATCACAACAATGTCTTTGCCGTTCCACTTTACATCACTTAACCTGCCAAAAAATTTGACAAATGTTATTCAGTGACAGTCATGTAAACTTTGGTCAATATAGGACAGAATGGTGAAATTTTAAGAAGAAAATAAACAATTATTTTTCTTTTATAATTATCATATCATTTTTTAAAAAAGAATTGGTAATTAATTTTTAAATATTTTTTTGAGAATTAACAGTTGCAACATTTCATGTTGCCGCAGAAAAAATATTTAACTATGAAAAATAAATCATATGAAATAAAAGAAAGAAGTAAAATATTGTAATATTGATCCAAGTCACAGTGGTGCAATAAACAAAAGACAGAATCTACCTATCAGTGGTTTAAGATAAATTGGGTTAACTAGTTCTCAGATAAACAGTAATTTAAAGTTAATATACCATTACTGTAATAACTTTATTTATCCTGCAACTACCCCTTGCGTTGACCTAATAAAGGTAACCTAATAACCAAAGCTTTATCCGGTCACTGCCCTAATAAAGCCTCGTGCATGCATTCCAACGTTCTAAAAGCATTGTGACGTCATGTATATTGCAATGTTTACGCCATGGCGTCATAGTTTCAACTGCAGAAACGTCCTTAAATCTGTCAAAAAATAGCTTGTTTTGGATATTCTAATGTAAAAAGTATGTTGCAGGATAAACAAAATACATGATAACTGTCTTGAAATATAAGTGATATTTGGGCTTGGGTCGAAAACGTAAGAGGGCTCAGCAAGCCTCACCCTCTATCACGTTTTCTTACCCTCGCCCAAATATCGCTTATATTTCAAGACAGTAACCATGTATTTTATATATATTTCATTTATTTTTTATTGACTGTTTGATTATCTTTTTGCTCAACCGAACAAACATTCACATTGAGGCGACTGAACAGAATCGTCCTATATCAGGTTATACGTATATCCTATATTCAACTTTGGATGAGAGTAATAGAACTAAAACCAACAACTGAACTAAACTCTTTTCAATAAAATATATATTTGATGATAGTAATTCTCAGATGTTCTACTGAATGAACGGAATAAGGCGTATGGCTTGTAAGGATGTGACTGGGTTTGATTCTACAAATCCAGATACCAGAACTGTTTACCCATATTGTTATCTATCAGTATTTTTGATTCAATTTTTCCGTGAGATTTGCCATTTGCCAGTAAGATTTCACTTTCAATCGATTTTACATATATTAAAAGAGAACAAATGATTTTCTGATTACTAAAACATGGTTTAATAACATGGTCTTAGTGATTTTATACCAGAGCATTTTGGCAACTCAATATCACTTATATGTATTTGTTAGAAATCTTTCTCTTTTTTAGTGATTAAAAAGTATGAAACTGAGACAGACCATAACAAAACTACTGCCAAATTATAAATGAAGGTATTTCTTATTTTCATAATAGCAAAACATAAGGCGTATTCTGGACTAAAAATCTGTACAAAATACGTCAAAATCGTAAAAGATACTGTTGACTAACAATAAACACTTCCTGTACATTATACGAGGGTTGTCCTGTAAAATCGTGGACAAGTTGTCTAGTGTAAAAAATAATAATCACTGCATTCTGAAATTTTCACTATTATTTAGTACATATTTTAGTAATATACACAGCAAATTTAGATAAATAGTGCGCCGTAACGTCATAAAATGTCGCCATTTTTCATGTGTTGTGTTTACCACTTTCCCATTTCGAATGCTCCAGAAACTGCCAAAAATTAACCAAATGCCTTAAAATTTTTACAAAGACTACAAAATTGATTGTGGAATTGAATTAGGATACAGGGGTTTAAATTTTCCCTAAAAATTCACTGGTCCAAGGACTATTAAGCAAGTAAATTTCACTAGTCCGTATCATAAAATTACTAGTCCAAAGTTTAAAGAAAAATATGCTTAGTTTTAAACAATTTTTAATCAATTTGATCACAATGGGGTTTTTGTCAGTACTTTGTGGCTTGGGGCTTGTGCCTCAAGAATTGGGAATTTCAGCTTCAATTTGGCTAATTTTAATTGGGGAATCTTCCAGAAAACCAAGTCATTTAAAAGCATTGTTTTTGTCTTTGTATTATATTTGTATTATATAAACAAACAGTTGTTATCACAAATCAAGACTATTCTTGGTATGAATTATCTAATAATTACTTGCATCAAGAACAATAGTGGTATGAATTAACTAATGAAGAAAATCCAACATGGATGAACAACCACAAATCCTGCTTGAACTTTACTTTAAAACATGCAATAAACAAACTGAATTTGATTACATATTTCGTAAGTTTTTCTTTGGGATAACCTCCACTATATTTAGGGAAAATACAGGCATATTTTAAATGGAATTGGGCCGAATTCTCAAAACTACTAGTCCGACGGACTATTTTTAATCCAAATCTTATGTATTTAAAACTTTTATTTTGAATTCAAACTTGTGTATTCTTTAATAAATCCTTGTTTTTTTTGTCCGTGCGCCGTAGGACAATACCCCGTGCACATTCAAGCATAATAAAATCTTAATTTTTGCCTATATTTTATCAAAAAAATTATCAAGCACTTAAATATGATAAATAAACATTTACTGAAATTTTCAGCTTAGTGCGCCCATTACTTTTCGAGAATAAAGTGCCCTGCCACAGCATGATACGCCCGTCAAATATTGTTCAATAATCATAAATTGGTTAGGATGCGATTTCAATGATTTAATTTCCATTTCTTATCATACATTACTAAAGAGACTTGCAGTGTAGGGATTGATTATAACAAATACATCATATAACTCTAAACTGGTACAAATGTTTAATATTTTATGAAATAATAGGAATGCTAGAGTTTAATAAAAAAAATTCAAACATAAATTATAATTTCTTCAGACTATAAAATTCTAAGTGAGACATGACTGCAATTTGTTGCAAATATATATAAAAATTGAAACATATATTTTTTCTTAATGAACACATGTATATTAATAATTAGTTTTAATTATATTATACAATACTAATTTAGTTTTAATCATACACTAAAACATAAATTTGTTTTAATTACATTACACCAATTGGAAGATCTTTATCTGGACTAGCCATCAAGAACTCTTAATTAACACAAGCAACTATGAGGCCATTTCTTTTTGCCCAACTCCCAAGAGATAAATTAAGATAACAGCTGCATCAGATCTAATGGTCCTCCTGACAATTAACTCATTAATTTCTCTCTTATTTGACATGCAAGTTTCTGCTATCAAAATTCTTCTTGACCAGTGCTTGATAATTATGCCCAATGAATTCCTCACAAAGCATAAACATTTGTTACACATTGCTGTAAAGTATATAATGAAAAAATAAGTTTTTACTTAATTTAACATTTTTTAATAAGGATACAACTATATTTTTACATTTTTTAGGATTATGAAGTTTAAAATTTAAAAGACTTAGTTTTTTGAAAAAATTCACTTAAATTAAAGGTCACAGTGACCTTGAAATAGGCCGCGACACACCTTCTACTTTAGCTGTATACTTTTGCCAAGTTTGAAAGCTCTAGGTCTCATAGTTTTCTAGTTATGAGCCAGACAGGATTTTTCCATATTTGGCTATAGCATCTTTATTAAAGGTCAAGTGACCTACTTTTTGTGCGAGACACACCTTCTACCCAAGATGTATCAGCTGACAAAGTTTGGTAACTCTAGGCCTTATAGTATTAAAGTTATGAGCTGGACACGAGAAAAGCTAACAGACGGACAGACAGACAGACAGACGGACGGACACGAAGCCTATAACATAATACGTCCCGTCTTAAGACGGGCGTATAAAAACGCTTTGTCCACGATTTTTACGGGACAACCCTTGTACATGTAATAAAAACGGCTCTAGTCAAAGCTTCAGATTTCTGGTTGCTACGTACGTTTTGATGATGGAGTTGAATGCCCTCTGTCCCTCTGGGGTAACACCAATGCCTATGTAGTTCACCTGTCTCTTCTTCTCTTCCAAATTCTGTCGTAATCTACTTTGTATCTATAAAATACAGGTATTTGTGAAATATATTAAATCCTTACAAAAATTTTGTCCATTTTAATGGATTCAAATAACCCTGCATACAGTACTGTGAATCCACAAATTTTCGGTGGGGCTTAATTTTCATTGTTTTCAAGGTATGAAGAGATCCCACAAATTCATGTCTATTACGAAATGTAACAAACATTACTATTTATAAATTCTTCACCAAGGAAATCAATTCCCTATAAATCAAGAGGTTTTCCTCAAGTCACGAAATTTTGACCCCCAGAAAATATGTGATTTCACAGTATTTAAATGTACACCATGCAATCATTATACTCTGCAATATTTGAGTAAGTCTGCAAGTTTTATAGCATTAAAAATCTGTATGTTGGTTGACATACCTTTTGTATACTGATGCTAGTGAGTGGGGGTGGGGGGTCGTTACATTCTTTTGTCACCTTGATGTGGCTAACAAAGGACAAATTTACCATCTTTATATCATGAACATCTCGCTTACCACTGGCTGCTGGAGATTCTTACAAAAGGTCAAGGTTCAAGTTATATTTCAAATTAAATCAATTTTATGCAATCACAACATACCAGCATGTGTTCTGCATTTAGAAATGTACCAAATAAGCAGAAATTTTAGCAAGGATTCAATTATTGCTTATTTAGTAAGGGTGTCAGGATAAATTGCCATTTTACACCCTGTATGACTCCATATTTGGTCCCTAACTGTCTATGTATCTAATGATATCCACATCCTACAGCCTACTTATTCCATGCATACATTGGCTATGAAATCAAAGATCAGATTGATAAAAAGGGAATGACTGTTTTCATTAAAAAAATATATCCAACCATACTGAATGACTTCCTTGTGTGCAACATATTGAATTCAATAAAAACCATTGGAGAGAATTTCCAAATACATGCAAGTTGTAAGCCTAGTTTTAATCACACAATATTGTGAGACTTATGTAGATCTTGTGCTGGTTTAGATATTATTTGTACCCGATTTCTTCAGTTTTCCTCTTCTAGCTCATATTTCGATGTTTAAGACCTGTGCGTGTCGGTTTTTGAAGCTAACTGATGAAAAAATATTTTTAGGTCATTCTTTCACTTGACATTTCGTGTAAACAAAGCATAAGATGTGCCCTTATTCCTGGACAAAGACAATAAAAAGATACTGATTGCAAGCATTTTGGTTCCTTCGTCGAAAGCTAACACTTCGCCTTGAATTTTCTGGTTGTAACACGTCGTACAGGAGACAATACTTCCGATATTAAAATATTCCCCATCTTGGGCAGCCATATCTATCTTCATTTTCTCAAGACGCCAGTCTCGCACTGAATATTCACCCAAAGAAAATCTTGTAAAACATTAAATTTATGAATACATAAATTTTAGTGAAAATTAAGTTTTTATTTTTTTGATAGATTACATCACTTTGAATTTTTCAAAAGCTTAAAAATTTATATTATGCAAATATTTTGTGCGGACCACTATTCCCCTAAACGTACGGGCGGATCAAAAGATTGAACATTCGGTACACCGCAAACTTTTTTAATTGATTTATATATATAAAACTCAAAACAACAATGAGATGCATTAAAGCTATTTTATAATTTACAAACAATTGTAATGATTATTGACTGTAATATGTTCAAGGCATGAAGGGGGGGGGGGGGTAGGGTAGATAGTTTTGGGGGAAAGGGGGAGGGGGGTTATTCCAACATGTTTATTACGATTTTACAAGAGATACCCATTCAGTGATTAAACTTTATAGTATTATTTGAAGAAAATTCGGTTGTGAAAAAATGGATCCCCTTTCCTGACTTATGGAAATACATGTAGGATCCTCGGATTCGAAGATTAATTTTCCTTTTTTGTCAATATAAAAATTTCAGGCAATCCAAATTTTCTTCCCCTGGCTGCTTATAATTAAACTGACTTTTAACAAAAATCTGTTAAACGAATTAAAAAAAAAAGACAAAACAAAACTCGGATTTTCTCTTCAACCCGCGCCCTCATAATATGGATATTTTTATTCATAGAATAGAATTTTCTCTTGATAGGTCGGTCCATCACTATGGTCGATCCCGCCATCACTGTTCCAACACCATCCTTACATTTACCATAAATTTTGAACAGTTAGTACTAGGTCTTTCTTACTTCACTTTTGATTTTCTTGTGCATGACAAGGCCTTCCTTTGACCATGGATTAACACACATGCCTTTTGAACAAATATAATAGAGCTAGGGTTTTTATACATCCCATGTTTATTTCTGTATGTATTTATGTATGTTGACGGGACCTCCCCCACCCAATTAATTTTGACCCTTTGACCTTGGAGATTAAACCACTTAAAAAAATAACTTTGAACGATTGGTTCTTGGGTTTACATATATCACTGGTTTAAAAACATTGACACAAGTCCTTTTGGGGGGTTACCCAACATTTTTATCTCTTGACCTTAGAGATTGACTTACATTTGATAAACTGACTTTCGACACAAGCTGCTAAACGAGGCAGCAATCAATGTTTCACAGACACATCTTTTTTTCGTGTATGCTAAACTTAGTAGTCAACTCAGAAATTATTTTATTACTCTTTACACAAAATAACAATATCGTACAAAACGTCCAATGGACCCAAACTCATGGATTTCAAAAGACCAACATATTTTTATATTATCTAAGGCATTTATCATGTTTATATACGGAAAAAATATCCAAGCCGTTACCATATCATGGTTGTCATGTTAACCATTTGACAAAGACATTCCTATAAATGACTCACTACAGTTATTGATGCTTGTGGACTTGCAGGACCCCACCCCACCCCATGTGTACCCCACTCCACCCACCTCTGGGTTTATTTCGATTTTTTTGCATAAATTAATTATCATTGAATGACCCCAAGCTCTCTCTCTCTCTCTCTCTCTCTCTCTCTCTCTCTCTCTCTCAAGTTTTCCAAAGAATCGGCGACTCAATTGTATCAATGAATATATCTGTGAAATATAAACCTAGAATAACCAACAATTCAAAAGTTGTGACCAGGGTTAAGGTGTTTTTTCAAAACGTTGGTCAGACTCCAACGTCCAGGTCAAAAGACCACTGAAATGATTAGTCTTGCATTTATTTGTCAAAACTAATAAACTTTTAAGGGATACAAATGTGAAATAAGAAAAAAAGCCCTAGTATCAATTGTTCAAAAGTTTGGCCAAGGCTGCATTAACAAAGTAGGCCAAACTATAATGTCAAGTTCTAAATCATTTTTACTCAAGGTAAGGTCTTAGCTGAGTAAAGATGAGTATGAACGCCATCGAAAGCACCGACTGTTCGAAAGCAATGGCAAGGGTTAAAATAAACAAAATCAAGGTGTAGTAGTGTGTATAATATGCATACTTAATAAATAAGTATTTTAAATTTAATGTATGTAAATCAAATTACCATAATAGATAAAAGTATAAAAAGCTTGATCCACTCCTTTATATCCTTAGCCCTACCTGTACACCTGTATATAGATAATTAGTTACCTAAGGGCAGGTCAAAGGTTTTGGAGTACTTATTGATTCTTCTTGGTAGCCTTTTCCCACAGAATGGTGAGGAATTATTTGTTTTAATTAGTACTATTTTTTATGCCTGTATATGGGAGAAAACATGTAATGTCTATATATTCACTGTAATAAGAGTTATCTCCCTTAATTGAGAGTAAATGTACATATATATACCCATCATCTATAAAATATCATTATGGATATGTTAATTAAGAAAAACTACACGTATAGATGATGTAATATGATTGAATTGATGTGATATTATATTGTTGTTTTATTATATTTCATGGCTATAACATTTGTATTTCCATTGGCGGATCCAGAGGGGGGTTCCGGGGGTTGGAACCCCCCCCCCCCCTTTATTTTTGCCAAGTGGAGAGAGAGAGGGACAAAGTTTTCAGAGAATAAATATTTATACGTCTAACTTGTGTATTGAATAGATATATTCTCACACATTTAGTTTCCTCTATTCATCTTCACTATTACTTTTTTTAATGAAAGAATGGTAGAAAATATTTTACTTATTTTATACATAACATGCGAGGTTTATTTGATATTAAATTCCCGCGATCTTTAGCTGCATTTGTTGGCTATCTAATGTACATTTTCTTGATTATATCTTTCGAAGGAACTAACATGTAACTATTTATTTTAAACATCAACCGCACCCCACCCGAAAAAGTTTTTCAAATTCTAAAAGAAAATTCTTTCTAATCTTCGGAAATGCTACAAATCCATTCAATTTTTTAGGCTTAAGGTAGGATTCTTCTCTGGTTTCTGAGTAGATGAAACATTCAAAGTATATTTGCTTATATGTCTTATATATTGAGGTGTAAGGAATTTAAAAGACCATATTTTTCTTTCCTCATCACAATTGTACAACTTTCAATAGAAATTGTTTACTGCGTTTGAAAACTAGCAGGGACTATATTTTTGACGGAATGGTGGCGTATGAAAATATCTTCTTTTCTGCCTCTCAAAATTATAATAGAACAATGAATTTAGTTATAATTTTTACACAATCGAAGTCTTGGAGAAATTTTCAAATGTATGTTAGATTAATAATGAGGGACTAAACTTTCAAAATATATTAAATAAATATGATTTTTCAAACAAACTAAAACTTTATTAGCTTTTAAACGCTACCTATCAAAATGCAGATTTGAGCCAAAAATCCATACAAAGTATTTTTTCTCTCTTAGTAAACGATCAAAACTTTTTGTTTTTGTATCATTTTGTACATTTATAAGACTACTTCATTATATGTGAAAATAAGAAAAAGTTAAATATAGGAAGCATATGAAAATAACTAATAAATCCTAAAGAATTAAGAAAAACAGAGAAAATTCGGATTAGCCAATATCCAGTTAAGTTAAATTAATTATGTAAATTTGGTAATATCATACTATAAACCCGATATAGTAATTTGTTTTTATGCAAAATGAACAATCTTTAAACTTTTGAAATAGAAGTAGGTTTCACATGATTGGCAACAGTATTTTTTTTAATTCTTAATGTCAAGGAAAAAGATAATGACCTTGACCTGACCTTGCATCTAATATAAAACGGTCAAATTTAATTTCACTGATACTATCACTTACTGATATTATCTTCTTGATTCTGTGAAAATTTCATTAATTTTTAAATATTAGAAATATGAGAAGAATCCTACCTTAAGTAGTTTTTGAAATGTGTTTCTTTTTTTTATTCAGACTGGGGGTACCTTTTCAAAGAAAAAAAAGGACCTAAAACAAAGATATTAATTATTTACTTTAAACTTAGATCTTTCCATACGTATGTGTGAATCTTAGCTTGAGAGTGTGTAAAGTGTGTGTGGGGGGGGGGGGGTAAAGGGACACAATCCTGGAACCCCTCCTTTCAAAAATGGCTGGATCCGCCCCTGATTTCATAAGCTCACTGTGTCTAAATAAATAAGACCTGAACCCTGACAGAGGCGTGTTTGTTTCTTCGTACACCACCCACTGTTACAAAGGTAAAATATTTTCTCATTCAAGAAACACGAGGAAAGAAGGTCTTGTCACAGGAATAAATTTTAACTGATCAAAGCCAGAGATTGCTCCAACCAATCAAATTAAAGCAAGCAGATCAACAGACAAGCAGCTAGATAGACTGACAGAACAAAAACTTTTTACCTCCAAATCTTCTATTTCTTGTGCATAAAAAAATAAGGGTATTAAAATTTTTATGAAAATGAAGTGTTAGTTGTTAGTTGTACCAGTATACGGAAACTCATTCGGGTTTTAGTTTAGAATTTATACACGCCCCGTAGCTGGTTCTCATTTGTTAAAGAAGAACCAGATTATCAAAATGGAATACCGAGGAATGGGTCGATTCCCTGGGCAGGCTTCTAGATTTAGATACAGTCGTCCTGGGCTCCCCATCGCGCGGCCAACTAGAGCTTTATTGTCCACACCAATGCGAGCTAGGTTTGAGCCTCCCAGGGAAGTTCGACCCCGGGCTTTCACGCCAACGCCCAGGGGCACCATACAGATGCCATTCCGTGGGTTTAAAGCGACCCCCATGATTCCCGTCCGTCAGCATGGCCAGGTGTCAGATCACAAGACAGAAACAAAAAATGATACAGGGAAAGATTATGTATCGCCAAATTACAGAGGACCAGAAAAAGCTGGTAATTATTGCTTCATCTAAATCTACTTTCATTTTAGCAGTGTGTTATATTTTGGTTAAACTTTGTTCATGTTGTTTGTCAGGACAGCTGTCAGTATAACAAGACAGAATTGTAGCTTTTTGGGACAGAAAATCAAACAGTTTTTATCACCCCTATTTTGATTATTAGTTTTACTTCAGAAGCATGCATAAAAAATAAGGGGCTAAGTATGCTTTGACCTACTCTAGCATGCTAGAGGTTTATGGCGAGATACTTTTGACTTGGCACTGCATAACCTCTAGCATCTATTGTTAAAATTCTTGCAGCTGAAACCCCAAGTGGAAGCGTTTAATTAAAATTTCATGCTTTGAATATCAGCGAATGATTTGAAACAAACAAATATTCACTATAGACCCTTTTCCTATCACATATTTTGTCTAGGAGTTATTCCTCTTAGCCCCCATTTTGTTAGTATTAATTTACCACTTTGAGCAATGAATGTTAAACATGCAAGAAATACACGAGGGAAAAAGTGTTATCTCAGAGTTCTTGAAATCTTTCGGTCCTGTCGGCAAAACGGATAAAAACAACCAAGGACCGATTGCTTTTTGTTCAGTGTCAGTCCAGATGACCGGTAATTGTTGAAAGAAGAACTCTCACAATCCAACCAAATTTCGTACGAATTCCCTATCCCTATAACCGACATTAAACACTGTTAATCTCTCGTATTAGCAATAACTCCATTTTTTTAAAAATAGAAGTAGAAATTGAAACAAGTCTTCTGCTTAAAATTCGGGATTGGAATGCAGAAAATCTGATGAAACAACTCTAGTTTACTGCAACAAAATCTTGAAATTCGTTTTCTGACCAGCAATCAGAATCTGCAAAATTAATGTGAAGTCAAATCGAAAATACTTCTGGTGACAAATTGAAATAATTTCGATTTTGATTAATTAACAATGATGTATACTGAATGAAATAGATTTTATGATTTCTTGTGACTTAAATACCCCATGCACAGTGTACGAAATTCCCGTCCGCCCGCACGCCCGAGACGTACTAATTCGGGAGCGGACGTATAAACTTTACTCTGCATCAGCCCGCTTGGACGCACTGATTTTACCCTATTCCCAGACCCTCCATTTTTTTTGCAGATAAATGTTTTGAGAAGGTAAAGACCAAATATTTCAACGTAAATATAAGCCATAATTCCCTCAGACAACAAAATATCAACAAAAACTAATCAATAAATCTGTAAAGATATGAAGAACAGCAGTATCGTCTTTTAATCTGAATTTCCTCTGTTTTCACGCATGATACGATGTTTTCTACTTTCCAGATATTTTGTGCATTTTTAAACTTACAGGATTAGACAGATATCAATCATTCACACGCCTTAAATCAAAAGAATCCATTTGTATTAATATTTATAATGCTCATGTCGTATACTTGACAAAGCTAGTGTACTAAATATTCAACACTGACAATATGAACTTTCATATATTAGCATACAGAGCTTTTGTTTTTAACTAATTTTTGTTTTTAATTAAATCAAAGATAAACTTACATAAAATTAAATCATGTAACAATATTTTTGCCCTCTTCATAATTTTAGATGTATATAATTTTATATAAGAAATAAACATGATAAAACATCAATTTCTTTTTAAAATATAAATTTAATTATATATTTTAAGTGTTAAAATTGCTAAGAACTGAAATTTAAAGTAATATTTTTTTTTTTAAGAATTAAATCAAGCAGACTCCTGATTCTATCATAAATGTGTGTGAATATACCTATAAACCTTTATATTATTAAATATTATTTATCATGGCAATAAATGTAAAAAAAAAAAAAAAAAAAAAAAAAAAAAAAACTAAAAGAAAAAACGACAGTGATGTTTTATTTTTCCTAACTTCATATTGAGAGTCTTCAATGAATGAAATTTAAATCTTAGTATTTGTGTACAAATTAAATTCCAGTGGATGTGAAAAAAATGTACAAGTTTGAGTGTGTGTATCCTGAAGTTTATATAAATGCGCGGGCTTGCTAATTTTCAGCAGGGCTGACAGACTTTTTGAGTAATCAGCCCTGCTGGTCCACCTGAATTTTTTCCGAGTTTCGTACACTGCCCATGCAAACACGTAAGGTATCTGAAAATAACTTGTTTACAGTTTATTTCATGCATTATATGTTCTTGCCAAAATATGAGGTGGAACGAGCTCGTTAGAAAATGGCCTTCGGATGTAAGAGTACGAGGTAATGGTATATTAGGAGCGTAGGAACATTAACTGAGGCTTTTACTTGTTGAAGTAGTTTTGACCCAAACCTTTTTAGCTCACCTGAGCCGAAGGCTCAAGTGAGCTTTTCTGATCACAGTTTGTCCATCGTCTGTCCGTCCGTCCGTCTGTAAACTTTTCACATTTTCGACTTCTTCTCAAGAACCAATGGGCCAATTTAAACAAACTTGGTACAAAGCATCCTTGGATGAAGGGGAGTTTGAATTGTTAAAATGAAGGGCCAAGTCCCCTTACAAGGGGAGATAATCAAGAAAAGACAAAAATAGGGTGGAGTCATTAAAAAGTCTTCTTCTCAAAAACCTCTAGGCCAGGAAAGCTGAAACTTATGTGGAAGCATCCTTGGGTAGTGTAAATTTTAAATTGTTAAAATCATGAACCCGGGCGATAGGGCGGGGCCACAATGAGAAATCCAAGTTTTACATAGAAATATATAGAACAAGTCTTTAAAAATCTGCTCAAGAACCACTGGGCCAGGAAAGCTGAAACTTATGTGGGAGCATCCTTGGGTAGAGTAGATTTTAAGTTGTAAAAATCATGACCCCGGGCGATAGGGGGGGGGGGGGCCACAATGAAAAATCAAAGTTTTACGTAGAAATATATATATAGGGAAAATCTTTAAAAATCAGTTTCAGGAACTACTGGGGCTGAAAAGCTGAAAATTATGTGGAAGCATCCTATGATAGTGTAAATTTTAAATTCGATTAGATTCCAAATTATGACCCATGGGGTAGGATGGGGTCACAATAGGTAATCTGGTAAAGAACAGCATGGTCAGAGCTACTCAGGTGAGCGATGTGGCCCATGGGCCTCTTGTTGTACTTGTGCCAACTCATCTGATTTCATCAGGTTGCACCTGATGTTTTGACCCATAATGCATTTTTTCCCCATGACATGGCAGATCATGCTTTAACCCAATCTTTGCCAAACAACCCAAAGATCACGGGATTTTTTTGTTAATTAGTTTGCACTTTCAGTTTCCAGTTATCAACTCAAACTTGGATCTGTGTAAACAATGCAGATAACTTTGTACAGTAGGCTGTTAGTCTGTGTACCTGGACAGATTACATTAATGAGAAAGCAGAGTTAGCAGACACATTACTTGTCTAATGAGCTAAATGTTGTATGAAAAAAACTACAGTACTGTTATTGATGTTTTGGGAAAATTAATATGTCAATGAACATGCTGAAGGAAATTGCCTATCCCAGCAGTTTATATATGTCCCTGTTCATACCTAATGTTGAACTAAATTTCATTTGTTGATATTGTGGGCCATTCCATCAGATCATCATGATCATGGCCTTGTCAGACTTGTTGAATTTTTTCAAACGGTCATTTGGACTGATGTATTTTTAAAAACTATTGGTCTAGACAAATTTTTACTGGCCTTGCGGACAAGATCTACAGATATCCACAATTCTGCCTTGTATCATCAAAAGAAAGGGCATCTTTTTAGTAGTCACTGTTTGTTTTGACTAAAGAACCCAGATATTTGTGTACATAGAGAACTTAATTGAAGTCTGATAGGGTAAGAAGCAAGTGTTTGATGTGAAAATCTTAATTAAAAGATGCAGAATCTTCCCCACTTGTCAATTTCACTGCTATCAGAGAAGTGCTACCCTTACAGGTGCCTGGATTAGTTAATTAATAACTCTATAGAAATAAATTGGATAAATTGAGGAAAGGATGACATATACTGGTATGTTTTCTATTTTAAGAGCCTGTGAATTAAAATTTGCCATGCATGAAGTTAAAGCATTGCTTTGAAAGGCAACCTGTAGAATACACTTTTTATAATTTTTTGGGGGTTGATTTTTTAGGCATTTGATGTGAGGCTAAAAAGTTGTTACTACATGTATAAAAGTAAGATCTAGAGTGTAACATTTATCTTTAATAATAGGTTGTACAAAGACTTCGGGGTCTAAACAGGCTTGGCCCTGATGCAATTTTTTTTCAAACTTAGAGCACTGCTTTTAAATAATTTTTCTGTGATCTTGATTATTTGAAATTTGAAAAATATTTGCAGGTTCTGTTACCTCAAAACAAAATGATAAGGACAAAAAGGAATCAGAAACAGCAAACACAGGTAAGGCCATTTCGGTTTAATAAAAATATTGTAGCGTCTGTCTTTTGGTACCCCCACTCCCCCACCCCACCCCAACCTTGTGTAATATCCTATGTATATAAAGTGAATCAAATAATTTCTTTTATTTTTATTGATTAAAATCCATAATAAACATGATCAATATTAGTTTTCTTTTTTTGATTTTTTTACAGACAGCAGTTTAAAACAAGAATCAGCAAATGGAGGCACTTTGAAGTCAACAGAAACAGAGTTACCACCTAAAAACCAGGAAGCAGAGAAGCCCTGTCTGGTTCAAGCATCAGATCAATCTTCATTTTATGAAGAAACAAGTCAAGATTCCAGTTATGATGAAACTGCCAATCAGGATCCATATTTTGAAGCCTCAAACAATGAAGATTCAAATACTGATCAAACCTCCAATCAGAATTCATATTTTGATGAGGCAGCCAATGAGAACTCATACTTTGAAGAGTCGTCCAATCAAGAATCATATTCAGAGGAAGCATCTTATCAGGACTCATTTCCAGAGCAGGGGTCAAACTTTGACACTTACCAGGGTGACAAGGGGGGGTCGAACACAGGTCAGGGGGGTAAGGATGCTGGGGGAGAGGGACAGGAGAAAGAGGAGGAGGGGGAGGAGGAATCAGATGAAGAAGACACAGGCTATTGTCAGTACTGTAACATGCCATTTGACAATGATGATGTAAGTGTCTTTATTATATTAAAAAAAAACCCACAGCATCAAGCTTATTTCATAAAAAGCATAGTTAATACATATACTATATGTATTAAATAGTGAAATGATTTAATGTAAACTAGCTTTCTTTTATATTCTCCAATTGGCTTTATGTAATGTACCATAGAAAAATATTGCAGAAACATATTTTGGATTTAAAAAGCTTTCTGACAGGTAGTGTATTACAACAAAATTAAAAAATTATGAAGAGTCTATAAAAGTCATATTTTTAAAATTTCTCTCCATTGTTCTATCCCATGTCGATCCACAGGCATACTGGAAGCACACAAGGGGCTTGTTACACACTCAGAAGGTGATGGAGGCAGAAAATGCTAAAAAGAAGGGTCAGGAACCAGACAAGGAACCAGAAAAGAAAGGTTTGTCCATAGAACAACTGTAAATGTTTATATTTGAAGAAACTAGGTGCACAGCATTATGTACCAACCATTAAACATTCACAAACAGAATGATTCTGATTTAAGTCATGAAACTTCATTTACTATGAGCAATCGCAAATGCTGAAGCAAAGCTAGAATGTCGTAGAAGATGAAAGTTACATGTATGTAGTCATCCATGATTGTGAACCTAGACCAATATTGAAGCCTGTACTTTCATGTTTAACATCTTTTTCTTACAATCTTTGAAACTCATTCATATGGATTTATGATTATTGAAGGACGTTAAAGAAGACTCAGCAAGAGTATGTGTATTTGACTTTATTTTTCAGATATTATAACTCCACCTTCTTTTGGGTCCACCATGATGGAAAACAAAGCTTCAGAGAGAGATCTGAAATATCTCAGACTAGCAGGATTAAGTCCTCATATGGGATGGGGGAGAGGATCTAACAGGGGTGGATATCAACCACCAGCGAAAGATGCCAGCAGAGGTCGGACAGAGTCGGGGTACAACCAAGGTCAAGGACAGTCTGGGTACAACCAAGATCAAGGACAGTATGACAGAGGGACTCGAGGATGGGGGAGGGGTCAAGGTTACAAAAGTCAGGGTAAGAGTTATAGTGATGGTACATATATGTCAGGGTTTGGTCAAAGAATCAACCAGGAAGAGGAAGCAGAGGGGTATTATGGGTATGAAGAGGGCAAACAGTATCAGGGATATGAAGACCAGGGTGAAAACTACAAAGGGGCTGGTGATTACAACGATGGAAACTTCAACAGTGAAAAGGAGGGGAATGGGGAGGAGGAGTACAACTTTTACTCCAGTAACTGGATGGACATGGACAAGCCCCCCGAGAAGATCCCCCTGGGGGAGAGAGACTACTACCCCGACGCGCTGGGAAAACAGCAGTTCCCTCCCGACTTCTACTGCAAGGTGGGCAAAATATCTCACTGTAATGTAGCAACCCGCGCTGATCACCGTGTGCCATTAAGAATTGAACAAAATTTCACATCACTTCATTTCAACATCTTTAGAATAACGTTTTCTTATCGTTATGTAAAACAAAACTTATATATTTGGAAAGAGGATAAATTAAACTTTTGATCTATGTGCATATTTTTATGTTTATTAATTCATAAAAGTGTTTTTTGAAGCGTTAAAGTCAATACACACCGGTAAATATCGATAATGGCGAGTTTACAAGATCCGCGCGTGGCCTAATTATACGAGGTTCACGAGTCTAAAATGCGGCAGTGAATATGCATGGATCTATGTCTCTCTACAACATGGAAGTTGTAAGTAAACCGAAGTCCAATAATTACCGAAGATACGACACCCCAAAGTTAATGCGACCCTGCCTGAAAAGTTTTCGGTAAGTAGTTTACTTACATATATAACTTAAAGTGCACATTCTGAAGTTTCATTTGATATAAGTTTCAACCCTCTGCAATAACATTTAGCCAACCGCATTTTAGGTTAAAGGTCAATTTCATTCATAAATTCTCACGCGTCACCGGGCGCCATCTTGGAATTTTACAACTTGAAAATACTACGGCTTTCAAATACACGATTTACCTAAAAACTAAAGCATATTTGGTCCTACCATCATTGAATACTTATCAAACAGATTAGAAAGATGATTTAAATTAGTTTATTTATTACTTTTGACGGGTGATTTCCACAATCAGTATAGTACAAATAGTCGAACGAATTTCCTCGGATGTTCAAATTATCGTAATGTTTTCTTGATTGTTATATCATATAATCTTTTTTCATACAAAAGGAATGCCTTATTTTTTCGATATAAATTATTTATATAAACTCTTTTTCATACAATATTTTTCAAACCAATATAATTTTGACTATTTGAATACATCTCCACATGAACATGGTCATGCTCTGATCATGGTGAACAAGGAATCCCGTTTTTTCTAAAACTGTGAGACGAAATATTCCCAGTCAAATATTAAATTATAGTCAATAAAGATGAATTATTTTTATTCAGAGGCATATAAAACCATGTCTCTGGTTGTATAGAAAATAACATAAGCTGACAGTATGACAATTAACACAGTTTACACATATTTTGAAAAATATTATTAATGCACTTCCCTTAGGATGTACAAAGTCATATAGGTTAATCTTTTTTTTTTAATTCCTCAATCTTGGAATTTTTTCTACCAAGATTCCATATCAGTGTTTAAATATTTTTTTTTATTATATTTTCAGATGTTGCCATACACAGCTGGAGTTTTGGGACTGATAATCAGCTGATTTTTCAATCTTCCAAGATAACATGGATGTCACCATATTTGTGTTTTCCTAATAAAACTATGAATTTTTATACAATATTGTCTTTTTTATGCATAAATGCTTTGAGATAGAAAAATAAAAACAGCAGAATCAGAAAGATCATAACTTTTTCAGTCAGAGTAGCAAGTTTTATAAAATTCTGCCAAGTAATAAATAAATTAAAAGGAAATAACTACTTTTTTGAAATGTGCCGGGTCCATCCACAAGCGAGTTGACACCTATCGTTACTGTAGCAAGAAATTCTAGAAAACGACTGAAATTTTGCAACTTTAAACTCCCATAACTTTTGTTCTACTCAAGATATCTTTATGAAATTAAAAGTATTATGCAAGTTTTAAGAACCTCTTTCCAATGACATAAAATTTGTGTACAATTTCCCAACATAAAAAATCAGCTTGGGTTGCTACTGTAATGGGAATCTCCCTCAATATGTATTTTTATAGCAGTATGCTTTGGGACTGTGGTCTTAAGCTTCATGTACAGTATTTATATTGCTTTAATAATGATTTCAGCTAAAAAAGATTGCAGTGGTAGTGGGTGGGGGTAGGGGAATTTTAGATGTTGTAACACTTGTTTATGAGCAAAAAACTATTTTTTCTTTTTGTTTCTTTTTGTGTAGGCCTGCGATGTCAAGTGCACTAGTCAGAAGAACTTTGAGATGCATGTGGAAGGAACCAAACATAAAATGGTACGCTCAACTCTTATCATCAGCACAAGGCTGTCATTGAATATTATGCAAACTGTCAAAGAAATATTATTTTGAAATGGTTTAATTATTTAGAGAGTTAATGAGATCATGTTTTTGTAAGTGAATGTTTGTGTGAGTGTGCAAGAAAGAGTTACTGAAGTTAGAAGAGAGTTGAAAACTCAGATTGCATAATTATAATCTTACAAAAAGACATTAATGAATAATTGCTTAAACATGCAAGTCAAAACGTAGAATTTTTAAATATTTAAAAGTTTAACATAGTTGTAATACATATTAATGCAGACTCCTTGAATTCACTTAAAAGTGATCACTTTCGTAATTTGTCTATGCTTGTAATATTTATGCTTAAAAAAAATCACAACCAAGTTGAGTGTTAAAGTGATAAATGGAAAATAGGGTAAATAATACTGAAAATCTGAAGACAGATTTCTCATAATTACAAATGACATCATTTTTGCTGCTCTGAAAACAGAAATTAAACTTTTGTAAAAGTTTAATTATTGAACACTTGACAATGAAAAACAAAGAAAAATGCCACATGACATTTAAATCAAATTGCACATAAAAACAAATATTTTGACATTACAAACAGATATCCATGATTGTGATAAAATACTGTAATAAATGATTACTACTACATTCAATTTATAGTTATTAATTCAAGTCATATCATGTGCATAATTATATGGATGGTTACAAAAAACAAACACAAACATGACAAAATGAATTTAACCACATCTTTAGCGCATACAAATTACAAAAACTTTCTGCTAAAAAAAACATAATTTCCCCTCCTTTCCAAAGGGAAACCCAAAATAAAACATGAATTGTTTAAAATATTTAACACCCCCCCCTTTATAAAAACATATTAAAACTCGCAATACAAATTAAAAAAATAAATTCACCAAAAAAAAAAAAAAAACACACACACAAGGAAAAAGATATATAATGAGAAAAATTATAAAACTAAACAATATATTGTTTATATTTTCAATCCTCGGAAGAATTATGACTAAAATAAATATTATATATTTATGCTTAACAACTGGTAGTATACGTATAATGTATATCTATAAACTGTTGCACACAGAGAGGAAATTGGCAAAATAGACAAAAAAGAAATGTAAGGAGAAAAAACAATAATTTTAATCCTCTTGCCAATTTATTCCTTAAAAAAGATGTTTGTCTTGGACCTTAATGGGTTTCAATTTACTTAATTTTTAAGGAATGAAGAGGTGCATTATCTCCTAGGGAGGGAATTGTTAGTGAAATGTAATATAGCAAGTTGTGAAGAGATTTACAGAGAAGATGCATTTCTGTAAATTCAAAGAATGCATGCAAACAAATCTTTTCTTGATTAGTTTTTAATCAAGGAATATAGAAGATTTGATTGCAACTTTAGAAAAAACTAAATCCTTTTAATTTACTCAAACTTGAAATGTGCTAAAGAATACACAAGTTTTGAGATTATCTCCTTTGTTGCACTGTTTTGTTTCGGAGGGGAGTTTTGTTTCCATGTATATGGATACTTTTTGCACCTCTATTGTAGGAGAGTTACAAAACTCTCCTACTTGGGTATTTCCCCATTATTGCTGCTGGAATACCTCATGTTGGTATACATGTATTACTTGGTTGGTAGAAATAAATTTCTCAGATAGTGTTTATATCTGATGATGAGTGAACATCAATTGGTGTCTCTAGCTATTAGCCGATTTATGCTAGCAGGCACACAAAAGGTTGCTGAGCTTGCTAGCCATCTATGGATTGTGTTAAAAAAAGTTGTTTGACTAAACATATAAGTTGATGCATCTTCAAAAGAAAATGATATACATTAATTTCTTTTGAAAATGCTTGCAATGAATATTTATGAATATTATTTGAAAAAAGTTCTGCTCATACTTATAAATATTAATGAGGAATATCCCAGCGACGGAATTATGATCTGGGACATTTTCATCAGAAATCTTTGTTCTTTGAAAATTTTTTGGTCTCTCCTTGTTTGGATATAGCCATGGTAACAGTACCGAGCATTCCACTTTTAAAATATCAACATGAAAGTAAACTATAGTCATAATTAATATGCCATAATTTTAAATGTCTCTATATTCCCTGAGATTTTGTATTCATTATCAGTAAATTCCTTCTAGCAAAACAAACATAATTTTACCATGAATGCCTATAACCAGGAATACACTGCTAAAATTGCTAATGACTGTGTTCCAAGTTTTATTCGGTCTCACTTTATGAATGCTGGTACATGTATTCAGTATTCACTGAAGAGAAAAAGCAAATCTTGCAGCAGATTCAGAGGCTTGTTCAACAGAATGAACGTTTGTGAGTGCTGGCCAAAATTCCTTAAATTTTTTAAAAAAATGTTCGCGAAGCTCGCTCTGTTGAATATGCCTCTTGTTTGTGGAAAAGAATGAACACACAAACTGAATTGAAATAGCGTGGGGTCATTAAATCAAGTAGAGAAATCTCTAGGACTCATCCCCTGTCAAGCTGTCAAGGGCTGTGGGATTATGTCATTATAGGCAAGGAAATCCCCCGGCCCCCTTTTTGTCTTACGAACAACCCTGCATGGCTTGCAAATACATTTCAGTACATGTATTTGCAAAGAAAAATAAAATTAATATTTCATTGTAATATATGTTTATTCAATATATTAAGCAATCTGGCAAATTGTTCCCTTATCTTTTATATATGAAAATATAGTATTATTATTAAAAGTAAAACTTATCTGAGTTATGATTGTAAGAATAAGTTATATTTTTTTCTTTTTTGAATAACTTTTGGCATGTTTAAAATTCTGAAATGGGTTGAGTGATTTTACATTTATACAGATTCAAGATAAAGAATTTTATAAATTTATTTTTATTTATTTATAAATTTTGATAAACTTGTCCAATACTGACTTTGGGGGGCATGACATTTTATGGAATTACATGTATGAATTTTAATTACTATAAATTAAATTTAGTAGTCTTTTTCTTGTCATTACATTTTATGGAATTATAAATTAACTTAAGTTAAATTAGACTTTTTCTTGTCTTTCACAGAAAACTTTACTTGGAAAGGGAGGTAAGTATAACTTACAGCACATTTCTAAAAGAGATTTTTAGAAATGATCAAATCGAAAAAAGAACGCAATTTTCAAAGGTCTGATAACCTTTGAGAACATTTCCAAATATTTTGCTAAATATTTGGAGAAAGCTTGACGTACATAATCATTGTTTTAATTGTCCAGATATTATTCCCAAATGGTTTTCTATTTGGGAATGCAAGAATTTAAGAGGTCTGTATAAAACATTTCAGAAAGTTGAAATGTTTTAAAATTTGTTTAATGATATGTCATTACATCATTCTGTTCAAAATTGTTTCTTTGGATGGATAAAGCTACAAAAAATGAATTTTGGAGATTTTTAAAATCTCATTAAAAATCATTTTTTGTAAGGGAAAAATAGATATCGATTACCTAAACCCTCAAGTATTTGAAAATAATTTAATGTTAATGTTACTTAAGTAGGAATTCAGATAAAAACTAAATAATAATTCTATCAAGGAAAGAATAACTAGAGAATATGAGGTGATTGATAATGTTTGTGAGAGAAATGAGGGTTTGAGAGCTGAATGTTGGGAAAAAATAAACAATTATGTGTGTTAGTAAAGATACCCAAATTTGAAGTCTTGGAAATGTAATGTTTTAGAGAGGATTAATATGTTGCAATTTTATGTTCATGGCATACATATGTGTCAGACTTTTGACTTGTCATATTTTTCCCTCTAAAACGGAGTCATCTCTAAACTTCTTATTGAAAAATGATATTTTAAAAAATGTTTGCATTTGTTGGACAGAAATTTAGATCTTAATGTTTGTGTTTCACTGTTTTATTTTATGATCATTTCTATTGTGGGTAGTTGTTTTGATAATTTTTATGATTTTAAAAAAGTAAGTTGAAAATCAGTTTTTAAATTTTCTCTTTCAATGCAGTTATATTTTGAGACAAAAATATAAAATGCTGGATTAATTAATTACAAATTTCTTTAAGAGTTATCACAAATTGCATTGAGATTAAAAAAACTCTTAAATGTATAAAAGTAAAGTAAACTACTAATTAAAATAATTAAACAATATTGAATTAAAATTGTGAAGGATTTTCTCCATGCACAGATACATTCAATGCAAAAGAGGAAGAGAAAAAGAAAATGGTTGTAGAGTGTACCAGCCATAATTCAAAGGTGGACCACCTAATAAACAAATCAGACCAAGCCATTGTTGGTAAGTTATTTGTAAAATGACATACTGCATCTTCCCTAGTCAACAGTTTCCGATGCAAGATGAAACTCTGGCCATCTAGCTGATGAAAAGGTGACAGCTGAGAGATGACTGACAGTTAACTGAAAGGTGACTGAGGGTTAACTTAAAGGTGACTAAGAGTGAACTGAAAAATAACAGACAAAAGGTGACTGAGAGTGAATTGAAAGGTGACTGAGAGTGAACTTGAGGGTGACTGACAAGTGACTTAGAGATGACAGCTGAAAGGTGACTGAGAGTCAACTGACAGGTGACTGAGAATTAACTGACAGGTGACTGAGAGTTAAGTGAAAGGTGACTGAGAGTTAACTGAAAGATGACAGCTGAAAGGTGACTGAGAGTTAACTGAAAGATGACAGCTGAAAGGTGACTGAGAATTAACTGACAGGTGACTGAGAGTTACTGAGGAGTTTACTGATAAGAAACTGAGAATTTACCTAACAATGACTGACAGTAAACTGAAATGTGACTGAATAAAAAAAGCCTATGAAATGTAGTCACTTTTCCAGACTTCACTGATCGGTTGATTTAATGGCAGAGTTTAAACATGTGTGATTTCCTCACTTCTCATAAAGTGTTTTGTTTATTTTTACTAGGTTTAAAGTATGTGACTGAGTTCCGGAAACCCGACCCAACGGTCCGACCCACCTATGTTTGTAACCTTTGCGAGTCCAAGTGTGACATGAATACTGTACTTTCACACGTCACTGGCTTCAGACACAGATCGAACTATTTTGTACGTGGTTTAACCAGATATCAGTTTATCAGTTCCCTGAACAGAAGATTTGAATTTAATGTTTTTAGTGAAAGCTTGCAAAGCAATTTTTTTCTTAATTATCATAAAAAAAATTAATACATATATCAAGTGGAAAAGAAATAAAAAATAAAATTAAATATTATTCTTGAACTATGTGTGTGCATGTGTCAAAATTACTTTCTCCAATATCAGTTGTTATTTAACATAAAATTTTATTGCAATACAGAAAGAATGCCATCCTGATATATACAACCATATGACATCTAACACTGCCAAGAAAAAGTCCGAACAGAATGCATCCGCAGAAGAGTTCGCTGCCGATTGTATGCAACGTGACGGTCGAGGAAAAATCAGGGTCAAGATGGAGATTGATTCAGCCACTGAAGCTGTTGCCGCAAATTTACTGAGTAAATCTGGCATTAAAATGGAGACCTTCATATCAGGTTTGAATTACTGTTTTACGATGTATGGTCATAAAAGAGTCATAATTAAATGAAAATTGACAACAGATTTCTGCATATTAATTTTTTTCTGATATGGATGAATGAGTTCGTTTAAATCCTTCTGAATCAGTACGTTGAATACATGTACAATTAACCATATTTAATTCAAAATCATAAAGGAAATTATTATTTGAAAATTTTTCACAAAATGAACATTTTTCCTATGCTCTGGTCTTTATCATTTCATTTATATTGGTAACTCCTAATTTATAAGACTAAGCTTGTATTCAGTTTTTCTTAAAAAAATCTTATTACAGTAAAACTCAGTTATAACGAAGTCACAGGGAACTATGACATTACTTTGCTATATCCATAATTCGTTATATCCATATAAGGAATTCATTAAATCTATATAACGGGATCCCAAATAAATTCACTATATCCATGAATTCGCTACATCATATTAAATGAGTTTTGCTGAATGCCTCTGCTGCATTTTCCTGCTTTCATACATTTAGATACCTGGAACAAATTAAAAATACTTGATGTTGCTTTGTCTTTTTCAGTCTTCGAAATAACCTGGGTGCCCCTTGCCCGGGACCTTGTAAATTTGCCATCGGGCACGTGAAAATTCTAAAATTACATGCCCAAAGGGCATGTGTGAATTTTCTTTCAATTCACAATGTTTACTTGCCATTTCTTCTGTCGTACCCCAGTAATTCGCGTAAACTTGCTATGTAATGTCTTAGATGAATTGTCAGTCAACATTTGTCTTGCCTTACATTCTCGATACGACCTGTCAAATGATTGTCCATCGTAATCATTAAAGTGTTTGATTTTAACCTATTTGTTTTCTCAAAGTTTCGTTTTCTCAAAGTTTGTTGCTAAATTACGATATGTTTATTGATGCCACGTGCAGTGGACTGCTGTCATGATCCTATTTCTGAAATTCAGTTCAGCTAATCAGCCAACGAAAGACCTGCATGCGAGTCAAAAGTTGTCAACAAAAAGTCAAAAACACATACGAAAATGGCAGACAGACAGTCCATGGTTGATTTAAAACTCTGAAAACAATTTAAACTTAAGATCGAGAGAATTTAAAAACAGAAACACTGTCCTTATAGTTAATATAAAAACCTTATTTTTTTTGTTGCACAATCATATCTGCTATATGAATGAATTTTGAGTAGGGCATGTACAAAGAAGTATATGCCTTGCGGTATATTGCATATATTTGCCCCCACAAAAGTCAAATTTTGAAAACTTCCTGAAATGTGCTGAATTCAATAAATTGTATGAGAAATATAAATTTACAGAAAATATTATAGTGTCAAAGCAGTGTATTCACAATTTTTGTTTTTGTGACGTCACAAACTAGTCTGATTTTATATCCTTTTTCAGAAAGAGGACAAAATGGACAAAATTTCAACAGTTTTAGCTTTAAAATTTATAGAGCGCAAGTTTGTTCAGGAACAATATTGACATATTTCATTGATATTATCATTCTACAAATTATATCAAAATACTGATCCTGAACACACTTGCGCTCGGTGACTTTTACTCAAAATATCGACAAAATATGTACATTTTTCTGTAAAATTCATAAAAAACTGAAATTTACGTCATTTTTGTGACGTCATTACGTACATATGGCGTCATTACTTATGAAAATATTCAGTGCTTTAAAGTGCTTTGAAGTCAGCATATACTCCCCTGTTTAAGAACTTAATCAAATATATCTCCATCAAAGTTTGATTTCGGGGGCAAATATTGGTTATTACCGAATAAAGTTCTTTCAGTGGGCTGGGTTAAAATGATCTGTATACATGCCCGAAGGGCAAGTGCTGAAAAAGAATTGTTGTGAAGACTGCTTTTTAATGATTTGTGCAAAACCATTAAATAGAAATTTTGTGTATAATTGCTATGATGAGAAAAGAAATGTGTATTTTATAGATCTGAAAACCAAACCTGAGCAACCATCACCTGTTCCAGAAAAGAAAGCCAGAATCAACCCTGTTCTCCTGGGACAAGGTATTCTGGGATTTTTACGAAAGGAAAGATTTGCTGTTAATCAATTTTCATTCGGGGAAACTCTTCTTTTTTTTTTTTTTTCGAGATTCTAGTATTGCTAAAGATTATATAGAGCAATTAGTACGATTTTTGAAAAATTTTGTTTTCCCTTATTTGAAATTTGCTTCCAAAAAAAGCAATTCTTTGCTAGAATACATCATGTATGCAGTGTATTAGATGTGACATTTAATTGGCATGAAATGATGCCAAATTTTCATAAATGATTTCAAATCTGTATTATTTTAGTCTGAATGTTTTCTACTTTCCAGACCAGCCTGAGCGAAGTTTCAATAAGAGGGCTTCAGATAGCCAGTATAACTACACATCAAAATACCCCAGGGGGCCGGGCAACAGGTAGGGCAATAACTACACATCAAAATACCCCAGGGGGCCGGGCAACAGGTAGGGCAATAACTACACATCAAAATACCCCAGGGGGCCGGGCAACAGGTAGGGCAATAACTACACATCAAAATACCCCAGGGGGCCGGGCAACAGGTAGGGCAATTACTACACATCAAAATACCCCAGGGGGCGGGGCAACAGGTAGGGCAATAACTACACATCAAAATACCCCAGGGGGCCGGGCAACAGGTAGGGCAATTACTACACATCAAAATACCGCAGGGGGCCGGGCAACAGGTAGGGCAATAACTACACATCAAAATACCCCAGGGGGCCGGGCAACAGGTAGGGCAATAACTACACATCAAAATACCCCAGGGGGCCGGGCAACAGGTAGGGCAATTACTACACATCAAAATACCCCAGGGGGCGGGGCAACAGGTAGGGCAATAACTACACATCAAAATACCCCAGGGGGCCGGGCAACAGGTAGGGCAATTACTACACATCAAAATACCCCAGGGGGCCGGGCAACAGGTAGGGCAATAACTACACATCAAAATACCCCAGGGGGCCGGGCAACAGGTAGGGCAATAACTACACATCAAAATACCCCAGGGGGCCAGGCAACAGGTAGGGCAATTACTACACATCAAAATACCCCAGGGGGCCAGGCAACAGGTAGGGCAATTACTACACATCAAAATACCCCAGGGGGCCGGGCAACAGGTAGGGCAATAACTACACATCAAAATACCCCAGGGGGCCGGGCAACAGGTAGGGCAATAACTACACATCAAAATACCCCAGGGGGCCAGGCAACAGGTAGGGCAATAACTACACATCAAAATACCCCAGGGGGCCGGGCAACAGGTAGGGCAATAACTACACATCAAAATACCCCAGGGGGCCGGGCAACAGGTAGGGCAATTACTACACATCAAAATACCCCAGGGGGCAGTGCAACAGGTAGGGCAATAACTACACATCAAAATACCCCAGGGGGCGGGGCAACAGGTAGGGCAACCAGAGGGGAACACGTTCCACTTTTTTTCAGTCTGATTACCCCCCCCCCCCATTTCCCTCTTTCTTTTCTCAGTCGCCTGACAGTGAAAGGAGGAGGGGGTGGTTTTAATCAGACTCGCTTTTCTTCTTCCTTTAATTTACTTGTGTATTGTGGTGAATAACTATACACACATGCTCATTGGAAACAACTCTGAATCAATCTTTTTTTTCAATCCATTAAAGCCTTTTTGGCATTATTAGCCATGTTTTCCATTTAAACAATGATGCAAGGAGATTAAAAGTTGTATAATTTAAAATGTCATTTATCTTATTGCATTCATTTATATATGAAAATTTAAAATCCATCTTTATTTTCATTCAAGATTTTATTTTAGAGCACTTTAGACTATAGTGAAATTGAATATTAAAATTAAAAGTTATGCTTGATAAAATATTTGTTTATATTAGAGATGTGTATGGAGAACCAGGGGGCCCCAAACAGGTTTACGATTACAACCACAAGGGGTCACAAAGGTCAGTATACTAATCTTAGTGGAAGTCCTTATATTATAAACACTTGTTTTATAAGTTACATTTTAAACATCTCTTACATTTGCAAAAAATAACAAGAAATGTAATCAGCTAGTATATTCTTGAAACACACTTTTTATGCCCCCCTTCGAAGAAGGGAGGGCATATTGCTTTGCTGCTGTCTGTCGGTAGGTCTGTCAGTCCATTTACTTTCCGTTCATTTTCTTCACAACCGTTGCACATACTGAGATGAAATTTAGTATACAGATATATCACAAGAATATCTAGGTCAAGTTCTGTTTTGGGTACGATCGCACCATTTTTGACAGAGTTATGCCCCTTGGACTTAGAAAAATTCCAATTATTTGCAGTTTCCGTTCATTTTCTTTACAACCGTTGCACATACTAAGATGAAATTTAGTATACAGATATATCACATGAATATCTAGGTCAAGTTCTGGTATGGGTATGTTCGCGCTATTTTTGACAGAGTTATGCCCCTTGGACTTAGAAAAATTCCAATTAGGCCATACCAATTTCTAATATAGTTCGTCGGATTCGCCGCTTCTATTTATTACAAATGCAAATTATAATATTAAAAAAAAAATGTCCGCGCGCGCTTCCAAAAAAATCCGACTACAATTTTTTTTTCTCGACTTTTTGCACCAAACACACAAGAACTTTGAAACTTGTATGACAGATGCGCGGGATTTATAGTGAGATTGAAGCAGTTTGTGAAGTTTTGCACCATGTCTGTTTAACTGTTCATATGTACCAGGGGTGTGCAATTAGCATCCCCTGACGCCCGGGGCTAACATTTTTGGGGGTTGAGATAGTGGTTTTCTACGAGGAGGTAGCCCGTTGGCCTAGTAAAAAATATAACTACACACGCAATACATGAAAAGCACAACCGGTATTTTAACTCGATTTTGGCTATAAAATTCCCAACCAGTTTACATTTTCTAGACAACATACTCCTACTGTCGATAAATCTCCATAATCTTATCCATTTTGCAGAAGTACATGACTTATTTACTTCCAAAAACGATTGTTTTTTCCTAATCCGAATTACCTCTATTCCTCCGTTTCTGGTAAATACATGCAGCTATATCTTTAAATTATTTATGATCACTCAATCAACTGAAAGATAAGTGTTTTGTGACTCACATAAAATATATTTCTTTTGTTTTGAATGATTTAAGATGAAAACAAAATGAATTTAATTTCATTCTACATGTTCTAAATGAGCTAGTGCAATGATCAGAGAAAGGGAAGATAATTAATTGAAGTTCATTTTAATTTTATTTCATAATAATTTAAATATGACTGAATTTAATATTGAGAATTTAAACTTTGTCTTTAAAAAGAATGACCTCAGTACCCTGACTTTTATCAGCAATTAATTTCTTTTTCAACATTATTTTATAGTTTTGTTTTAATTTTTGCCCCTGTATTTGGGCTAGTAACTAATTGCAGCTGCCACTAGCCTGTGGGCTAGTGCTTGATTTTTTTAATTGCACAACACTGTGTACTATAGTTAAAAACAATGGGTACAAAGTTGTTTCATACACAGCAATAGAAATGGAAGCAGAGGAGATGTTTGAAAACATTACATTAAAGTAAAGTCTTTGAAATTTGACACATTTTTACGTATTAAAAAAAATCCCCAAAAAGTTAAGAATGATAAGTTCATGTGGTATGCAAATGATATCTATCTTTATTTTTTAGGTTCACGCTCTTTGAAATCACACTTTACTAAAAAATATATATATGTATTAATTATATTCGCTCGCCTCATAATTTTGAAACCCAAAATAAAAAATAATATTTATAAAAAAATTTCGCTCGCTCGCCTCACTTTTTATTTTTGAAAATCCGAAGAACTATTTTACAAATTGGTATGGCCTTATTTGCAGTTTCCGTTCATTTTCTTCACAACCATTGCACATGCTGAGATGAAATTTAGTATACAGATTTATCAGATGAATATCTAGGTCAAGTTCTGTTTTGGGTACAATCGTGCCATTTTTAGCTCACCTCAACGAAGTTGGGGGGAGCTTATGTGATACCCTCGGCGTTGGCGTCGGCGTCGGTGTCGGCGTCGGCGTCCCAGGTTAAGGTTAAGTTTTTTGGAGCAGTTTTCTTTTTAATTACTTCTGTGTCCTATACTGATTAGACATGCATGGAAGATGGTTTTAGTGTGTTTTATTGTACCAGACAAAGTTTCAGATGCTGCAATTTCAGCAAAGGAATTACCAGGTTAATGTTTTTGGAGCAGGTTAACATTTTTGGTGCAGTTTTTGGTGAGGGTTTCCTTTCCAAGTAACTATAAGCCTATGTTGACCAAACTTGCATGGATGATACATCTAAGGATGCATACTACTGTGCTTGCTTCGGATGCTGAATCTGACCTTCATTTTCCGGTTGAGTGAACAGGTTAAAGTTTTTGGTGTAGGTTTCATTTCCAAGTAACTATAAGCCTTATGTTGACCAAACTTGCATGGATGATACATCTAAGGATGCATACTACCGGGCTTGCTTCGGATGCTGAATCTGACCTAATTTTTCCGGTTGAGTGAACAGGTTAAAATTTTGGTGTAGGTTTCATTTCCAAGTAACTATAAGCCCTATGTTGACCAAACTGGCATGGATGGTACATCTAAGGATGTACACTACCAGGCTTGCTTCAGATGCTGAATCTGACCTACATTTTCCGGTTGAGTGATTAGTTAAAAGTTTTTGGTGCAGGTTTCATTTCCAAGGAACTATGAGTTCTTTAATGACCAATCTTGCATAGATGATACATCTAAGGATGCATACTTCCAGGCTTGCTTCGGATGCTGAATCTGACCTACTTTTTGTGGATGAGTGAAAATGTTAGTTTTGATGCATGTTTCATTTCCAATAAACTATGAGCCTTATAATGAGCAAACTTGCATGGATGATATATCTAAGGATGCACACTAATGGACTTGCTTCGGATGCTGAATTGGACATACATTTTTCAGATAATAGACAAGGTAAAAGTTATGGTTGCAGGTCTATTACCAAAAACTATAAGGCTTATATAACATTGTATAAACCAAACTTGCACAAATGCTGCATCAAGAGATGAAAACTCTCAAATTTGCTTCAGATGCTGGATTTTCATTACATTTTCATGAAGAAGAAGTAGTTTAAATTTTTTATGTAGGTCTATTTCAAAGTATCAGATCAAAATTGCTTTTAAAAATATTTTCATTTTTGGAATGTATACTTTTTGTTGGTTAATTGTGTGACTTTGCCTTACTTAAAGACAACATTCATTGAGGTGAGCTCTGTAATCTCTGATTACCTATGTTTGACAAAGTTTTGCCCCTTGGACTTGGAAAAATTCCAATTTGGGGGGAGGGGGGCATAAGTGTTTTACAAACATCTCTTGTTACACAACAAATTATTGAAATATTATTATAACAGAACTTACAAAAAAGCTACTAACAGGTAGTGATTAATTGTTCAAAATGTTAAATATTTGCTAATGGTGACCCTGATGTACTGTGAAATCAATAATTTTCGTAGTGGTTTAATTATGCCCCCCTTCGAAGAAGGGAGGACATATTGCTTTGCTGCTATCTGTCGGTTGGTCGGTCGGTCTGTCGGTCCACTTAGTTTCCGTTCATTTTCTCCACAACCGTTGCACGTACTGAAATGAAATTTGGTATACAGATATATCAAATAAATATCTAGGCCAAAATCTGTTTTGGGGACGATTGCACCATTTTTGACAGAGTTATGCCCCTTGGACTTAGAAAAATTCCAATTATTTGCAGTTTCCGTTCATTTTCTTCGCAACCATTGCACATACTGAAATGAAGTTTGGTATACAAATATAACAGATGAATATCTAGGTCAAGTTCTGTTTTGGGTATGATTGCGCCATTTTTGACAGAGTTATGCCCCTTAGACTTAGAAAAATTCAAATTATTTGCAATTTCCGTTTATTTTCCTGGCAACTGTTGCACATACTGAAATGAAATTTAGTGTACAGATTTATCAGATGAATATCTAGATCAAGTTCTGTTTTGGGTACAATTGTGCCATTTTTGCCCTTTGGACTTGGAAAAATTCAAATTTGGGGGGAGGGGGGCATAAGTGTTTTACAAACATCTCTTGTTTTAGTTGTTTTTGAGATATGAAGAAAGCCCTGAATTCATGACCACCTTGAAATGTAAAATTTCATAATGCATCACAGTACTCAACTCTTCTCCAACCTCGAAATCATATCCTCACAAACCAATTCCTTTCTCAGACCTCAAAAATTTGACCCAATGAAAATATGTAATTTTACAGTATTTAATGTATTACATGTAATTATGAGGTTATAATCACTTCAGAACAACTCTCTTGCACAATTTTGTAACTGTTTCTTCAATCCTTTTTTCCAATTTGGCATTTGCACTAAACAGTGGATTTTTTTTACTGTAAAAGTACAGTAATTTAAGTTAACATTAGAGAAATTAATGACAATTTTAACTGCCCATGTATTGAAGAGTTTATTAAAATGATTCTTTACGCAAATAGCATAGCGGGCTACTCGGGATCTGATGATCAGTTTAATCCCTACCAAGGACCCCCCACGGGGCATCAGACAGCCTACCCCCCAGAACAAGGTGCCCCCCAGCAGCCCCGCCCCCAGGGGGATACAGACGATGAGGACAAGGAACTGTTTCAGGAATTCCTGGAGTGGAAGAGGCAGCAGAAAAAGTACGGGGCTCTAAGGCTGAAGTTGTTAATATTTTTTTTCATTGAGAAAATTGTTTTATCTTATTTTTAGGCATGAAAATTTGGGGCATGAAAATTGGACACAGTTTTAGCAGTTTATTTCGTAGTGAAGTTTGTTGTGTTCTTATTTTGAGGCGTGAAGATTTTGGGCATCAAAATTAGACACAGTTTTAACAGTTTTGGCTTAAAAATGACTTAAACTTCTAAAGTTAAGATTTCAAGGAGTACATTAAATTTATGATAATTATTTACCATAAATTAAGGTATTTTCTATTTTCAGGAAAGCCAATCAAGGCTCACTACAAGGTAAATTCTTTTATGTCTTATCCTATCTACATGCATTTGTTGTTGATTTCATTTTTTTAAAATTTATTTTATTTCACAAGAAAGTAGAATAACTCTAATGGCAAAATGTAAAAACTAAGCCATTTACTCGACTCAAATACACCAATTCAGTGACAGTCAATTCTGTGTTGTTTTTCTTCAGGAGAGGATTCATCTTCAGTTCAACAAACAACTGATAAGGTAAATGATAAGATTATGTGCATCAGATTTTTGGATCATGCCTGAAAGAAAAAAAATATTGAGCAAATGTATTCAATATTCTTAACAGTCATGTATCTAATGATAATTTTACAATGTCCTTATAAATCTTTTACTGGCCTATTCTTGATCCTGACCTTTCTTCGGTTTCATTCTGTGTTGCATATCAAATTTACAGGGCATAAAGATGTTTAATGATATGTCTTCATGATAAATCTTCATGATATCTAGAAAAAAAATCACTATTTGCAAGTTTAGTACAGGAATGAAAAGACAGATGAATATGAATTTTAAATTTATTTGAATTTGATAATTTTTAAGTTGATAATTTTTAAGTTGAAATTAAAAAAAATGTTAAAATTGCAGAAACAACCTGATCAAGCACCAGATGCCCCAGGAAGCTCTGCAGCAGACATGATGTTTGCTCTAGTAAGTGTAAAATAGGGTTATCTTCCAAGTACCGTTCCATTCCTTCAAGAAATGGAACTGGGGCTCGTTTTACAAAAGAACTTACGACTTAAGACCAAATTTAATTCTTCATACAACTTTTTAATAAACTTTATATCGAAAATTATTTTAAACTACTTAAAAGAAATGTGGTAAGATATTTTTACACAAATAATTTTGAAGAGAACTATTAATTTTGCCAAAGAACTATATGCGGTATATTGCATATATTTGCCCCCACAAAAGTCAAATTTTGAAAACTTCCTGAAATGTACTGAATTCAATAAATTTGTATGAGAAATATAAATTAACAGAAAATATTATAGTGTCAAAGCAGTGTATTCACAATTTTTGTTTCTATGACGTCACAAACTAGTCCGATTTTATATCCTTTTTCAGAAAGAGGACAAAATGGACAAAATTTCAACAGTTTTAGCTTTAAAATTTATAGAGCGCAAGTTTGTTCAGGAACAATATTGACATATTTCATTGATATTATCATTCTACACATTATATCAAAATATTGATCCTGAACACACATGCGCTCGGTGATTTTTACTCAAAATATCGACGAAATATATACATTTTTCTGTAAAATTCATAAAAATCTTAAATTTACGTCATGTTTGTGACGTCATTACGTAAATATGGCGTCATTAGTTATGAAAATATTCAGTGCTTTGAAGTCAGCATATACTTCCCTGTTTAAGAACTTATTTAAATATATCTCCATCAAAGTTTGATTTGGGGGGGGGGGGGCAAATATTGGTTATTACCGAATAAAGTTCTTTTACAATCAACTGAAGTTTTTGGTCTAAGTCGTAAGTTCTTTTGTAAAACGGGCCCCTGATTTTTTCATCATATGATTATTAAAATCTCTTACTTCTGTTATCAGTTGTATAGGGTCCTTCACAAATTTCATGTACAATTGTATGTTGATGGCTGTATGCCAACATGTTTGGTAAATCAATAAATACGTTCTATTACCACTATTGAAGAGTTATAGTTCTTAGTGCGCTCTTTTGTGAAAATATCAGAGAATGTACAAATCTCGCAGGATTTCTGGGACAAACATAACATAAACATGTAAAAACAACACGTTGAATGTCGATGAAAAAATCCTAGCAAAATGCATATGAAATATTTTGTTGTTGTGGACTTTATTTAAATCAAGAGTAGAGATGACAAGGATATTAATTTACATCTATTGGTGATCATATGTATCTATTTATTGTAATGGTGCATTTAAAGTCAATACACATACCTCGGAAATGTATTTTTTTTAATGGATGATAAAGTTAGGGTTTTCGCTCTTTTTCATATGTCTTTTAGTTCTTCTATTCTTTGGTTAGAATGACAAATGCACTTAACATTTAAAATTAGATTGATACTGGCATATGTTTTGTATTATCCGCAATACCATGCTGTCCCAGTCAGACGACCAAACGCGCCTCTAATTCTGAAGAGTTCACTAATGGAAATACAACCTATTGAATTGATAAATGCTTGGATGAAAAATTTTAATCGGAAGAGTCCTTTTATAGGACCCTGTTCCTATTGAAAATATACTTTTTCCCCAAATTGAGGCAAAAATTTCTAATTGACTTGCAAATTAAATATTTCAGAGCTTTTATGTTGAAATAAAGTTGATTTGTGAGATATTTTATAATTATTCAGATTTGAATAGGGAATAAGTCCTCAAAATAATTAATGCTCTATTCAACAGAAAAACTTCATAAAAGACATCAGAATTTCCAATTTTTGCCACTTTTCCATTCAAAATTCCCCAGTTAAAGGAAACAGGACCCCTTACTAAAATGGATCAATTGATGAATGATGAATTTCATCACAATGCCATCTTTAAAAAATTATTTGGTTGTCATCTTTTGACCAACTGGTTAAACATGGCCAGACTCGAAACTGTTTTTTTTAACCTCCAGGAAATAATAATTTTTTTAAGCATTTGGGAATACACAATATGAAAATTTTGCATTGATTTTGAAATATTCTTTGAAAAATAACACCACCAATTTTTTACCCCGAGTAGAGAGAGAGCAAGCAAACATTACCCGTGGTATTTAAAAATCGCCCAATGGAGATTTGTATGTAAGTAATTTTATTTTCGTCGTTTTAGTCACAGACTATGATTAAGACAGAGGAGGATGCAGCTATGGCTCTACAGGTGTCTAACGCTCTGACGCAGGCCTTACTACAGTACAGGCTAAACATGCTAAAGCTTAGAATTAATAATTTTATAATGACTTTGTAACATACATAATTTTATGATGTATTATGATGGTTAAACCAGGGAAAACAATTTTAAGACCATGATAAATATATTAAAACTGTATTCCTTTGATTTTTCTTTAATTTTGTTTTCCCAATCCTTACATATAGCAAAATCTTGCCAAATTCAGAACATTTACCTGTCCATTTATAGTTAGCCTCAGGTCTGACTAGTGGTGCGGGACAAACAAATCCTGTCCAAACAACCAGTGCAGAATCCAAGAAACCTCACATTTCTTCAAAATCGAAATCAGCTTCATCCAGATCCTCAAGCAGGACATCTCAGAAAGCTCAAACCCCTGTGGTATCATCATCATCTGCAATCTACCCCCAAGGGGCTTCATCTTCAGCATCCTACCCCCACGGGGCCTCTTTATCAATCCCAGGGGCAGGTGGAATGACTTCAAATGTGGCCTACACAAGCAGTGCAACTACAGGCGTTCCACCCATCGCGGATCCGCTCCTGCAGCACATGAATCCCATGAATCCCAATTATACAGCTAATCCCACTGCCACAACTCAATATCCGGGAACAATTTCTACAACACAGTTTCCGGGAACAGTTTCTGCAGCACAACATCCAGGAACAGTTTCCACGACCCAGTATCAGGGATATCCTTATTATGGAGGGCAGTACCCATCTACAGTTCCAGAGGGGTACCAATGGGGGTATAATACCACCACTACCCCCGAGGAGGTACCCCCTCCCCCTCCTCCCAGAGAAGATCTACCAAAGCCACCACCAGAAAATCAGACCTACTAGATATTTTTTTTTATAGAACTTTTATCTTTTGAAAGTGCTTTTACATTTATTTTACAAACTGGATTTTACTGATTAAAAAAAAAATGAAGCAAGCCAGTTAGATTTTGTATTGAACTTAAATCTTTAATATTTTCAAGATTTTATTCTTTTAAAGGTTATAATCTGCGAAATTGATGTTCAATAATTCAATAATTACTATTTTTGTTTATTCTTAGTAAAAGCATTTAATTGCATGTAATATTTCATTCATAATTGTTATAAAAACATCATGTGAAATGCCTTTTTTAAAGAAGTTATATATTTTGGAAAGCATGTTGAAAGTATGATAAATATTTACATGTAAAATAAAAGGTCCATATTGTTACTATTGATTTATTTTACGTAACGAACCAAAGTCAGAGTTGTACTATCTTGTGTTAACTAAACGTGCACAATTGATGCTTGTAGAGATGCATACTACGCCTATCATAATATTTTATGGTATTTAATGAGAGACTCTGCTTTACTTATAGATAATATTTGTCGAGGTGAGCTTTGTAATCTTTGATAACCTGTGATTAATTTTAGATTTTAATATCCATTGTCAAGGTGAGCTTTGTAATCTTTGATAAATTACACAGCATAATTTCTTAAACAGTGATTAATTTTAATGCAAAAGGGCGAAAATAAAACGGGGCGAAAATAACCCTGTATACAGTATACTGTTACTGGGAACACCTTTCAAATTGAAAGATATTATGCAGTTACTGAATCAGATATAAATTCTATGGAAAACTAAACAAGAGGCCCACGGGCCTTATAGGTCACCTGAGTATTGTGTAACAACTTTCAAACAATTTTTGGTTCGTGTTTTAAAGCAGAAGCCATGAAATTCACAATTCACAATTTTGAAATAGGCACCATTGCTAGTCATAATTATAAACTTAACATGCTTACTCTACTTACTTAATACCCAGAAGTAGATCAGAGTAACAAAGAGAAAATGCACTTCCACTTTATCACCAGCTGTGCACCTCATCCCAAAGGAACCACTGAACCTGGGGCCACATATTTCAAAATTTTGCAAATGTTATCATAAAATGGTTGATTAATACCAAAGAGCAGATTTCAAAGCATTAATTTACATTCAGACTATGTAACCTCCCCCCCCCCCCAACTAAGGGGGGCATAAAAAATAACCATTTTGCTAGATGCACCTTTCTTCATCTGACATAATATATATACTTGGATCATTGGCATTTTATGCCAAAGAAAAGATTTTCAAAGAATTAATGTATTTTCACTATATAATCAGTAGAGCCCCGCCCTAACATCAGAACCCCTGACCCTGGGGCCATAAAATTCACAATTTTGGAAGAGGCACTCTTGCTCATCATAACTATGTACTTAGTTAGTTTATTTAATACCCAGAAGCAGAGAAGATTTTCAAAGAATAAATGTTTTCACTATATAATCAATAGAGCCCCGCCCTAACACCAGAACCCCTGACCCTGGGGCCATAAAATTCACAATTTTGGAAGAGACACTCTTGCTCATCATAACTATGTACTTAGTTAGTTTATTTAATACCCAGAAGCAGAGAAGAAGATTTTCAAAGAATTCATGTATTTTCACTATATAATCAATAGAGCCCTGCCCTAACACCAGAACCCCTGACCCTGGGGCCATAAAATTCACAATTCTGGAAGAGGCACTCTTGCTCATCATTACTAAGTACTTATGTACTTAGTTAGTTTACTTAATACCTAGGAGCAGAGAAGAAGATTTTCAAATAAATAATGCATTTTCACTATATACTCTATATAGCCCCGCCCTAGCACTAGAACCCCAGACCCTGGGGCTATGAATTTCACAATTTTGGTAGAGGACTCAATGTTCATTACATTCATGCCAACAGTTTGCCTGCTTGATGTCCAGGAGTAAAGAAGAAGATTTTTAAAGATTGCAATAATTTTAGTGGTTTCGGCCCCACCCCTCAGGCCCCAGGGGGGCGGGGACCATAAAATTCACAATTCACCCCTAGATGCTGTATACCAAATTTGGTTGAAATTGGTTGAGTGGTTTCAGAGAAGAAGCTGAAAATGTTCAAATGTTAACACACGACGACAGACGAAAACGAATAGCAATACCTGGTAGGTTACCTGAGTTACTCAGATGACCTAAAAATAGATGGATATAAAATTTCAAACGGCATGTAGTTGTGAATTTCATAAACAGGTGAGATGAATTAAAATCTTTACTCTCTGTAGAAACACATTCTGCGGGACAAACTACATCTATGTACAACAAAAGAGGACATGAAAGGCAGATAGTGTGATGAAAAATCTTATTATATAGTGATGGTTTATTCATTTGTTTTATGTCCTTTTGAGAATTTTTCACTCATATCCAGAACCCACCCTTACCAGTGGAGGACTGCAAATTTTGATCTGTACTCAGCACTTATAGCCTTTGAACCGTGAGGGATCTTTGTTATGGAGGAAATTAAAAAAAGATATACTGTGAAATCACTTATTTTTTTGGGGGGGGGTATATTTTTTTGTTGTTTTCAAGGTATGGGGAGACCCATGAATTTATGACCTCCGGGAAATGTAAAATTCCATATGCATTACTAATAAACATTTTCTAACCATGAAGTCAAATCCTCACAAACCAATATTTTTTCCTTTAACCTAAAAAATTTGACCCCATGAAAATATGTGATTTTACAGTTTGTGTACTACATGTACATGTAATAAGCAACTCTTTTACAGTAATACATAGGTAATTTGAATGGTGAAGTCCCTTTCAATTTAAAAAAAATCATTTGATATGGATATATATATTTTGTATTATATCAAAAATTATTTTGATATAATTTATACCAGTGGAATAAACAATTTTTTCTGTACCTTGTTAAGGCCCCGGTCGGTGGCACCCTATAGTGATCAGTCTGTCCGTGTGTCTGTCCATCCCTCCGTCTAGCTGTCCAGACGTCTGTTCGTCAGTACTCCGAGATCTCTTGTCCAGAGCATATCTTCTCTCTCCTTGGCCCAATCTGGCTCATACTTTACCCACAGAGTGCCCTTGGGTAACCGGTGTGCAATGACCTTGAATAATGTTTCTAGGTCAAAGCAGAATTGTATGAAAAATCCTTGTCTGGAGCATATCTTCTCTCTTCTTGGCCCAATTTGACTCATGCTTCACCCACAGAGCGCCCTTGGGTAACTGGTGTGCAGTTTTCTTTGAACCATGTTTCTAGGTCAAAGGTCAAGGTCATAGCAAAATTGTATGAAAAATCCTTGTCTTCTCTCCCCTTTGCTCAATCTGGCTCATACTTCACCCACAGAGTGCCCTTGGACAACCAATGTGCAGTGACCCTGAACAATATTTCTAGGTCAAAGGTCAAGGTCATAGCAGAATTGTATGAAAAATCCTTGTTTGGATATTTCTCTCCCTTCATTGTGAAATAAAATGCCTTTCGGTAAAGGGTGTGCAGTTACCTTGAATGATATTTGTAGGTCAAAGGTTTAATTCATAGTGGAATTATATGAAAAATCCTTGTTTGGAGCATACATGTATCTTCCCTGCCAATTTCATACCTATTTCACAGAGTGCCTTTGCACACCTTGAACCATGTTAAACACAAAGGTCATAGCAGAATCATATCATTATTATATGAAAAGTCCTTGTCATGCATATTTGGCCTCCTTTGTCCAACGTGGACACAGAGTGCCAGTGGTAAATTGATTTGCAGTGACCTTGAACAAAATTTCTAGGTCAAAGGTCAAAAATAGCCTCTCTGTTTAAAATCTTTGTTCAGTACATAGTTTTTTTTCCCCTTAAGTCCACTCGGCCTCAAACAAATTGACTGGGTATATGATTTTCCTACCATAATGATATTATGATAGAGGATATGCAACAATATTCATAGAGGATACATTTCTAAAATTTTTTTAATTGTATTATTTTTCAGGGAGTAGTTACTTTTTGTCCCCTTTAATCTCAAACGCCTTCAAAATTAACCCTTTTCAAAGGGTTATTTCCATGTTGATTGAAAAAATTTAGAAATGGAAATATTCATATATAAATATCAACAGAGCTATATTGCTGAGTGAAAATAAATCTGTTCTTGATTTCATTAATTTTATTTAGATTTATTAAAAAAAATCAGACAAATCTACAAAACAAGCCTGGAAAACAAGATGTTAACCAGCTGCAACAAATCTACAAAAACAATTCAAGACTGGCATAAAAACAATAGACAAAGGAGAACTCCCTGTGGCACTCCAATATTGTCTGCACATCATTGGACTGGAGCTTAAAGATTCTCCTTCAATAGCCTTTTTAGAAATTGATAAACAAGGCAAACTCCTCACAAAATTGCGAGTATAAAATTGAAAAAAAAAATTATCACATAATTACATGTAAATAAATGTTCAACATTTTCGTCCAAACATTTAAAAGTTTTCAAAATGTTCTAGAAACAGATATTTTCAAGATTCTATCTTTAAGTTAGTTAATTTGCAATCATTTTCTTCTTGCTTTGGCTATAATTTTGAAAACTATTGTAAAAAAAAAACTTTTACTTGCAGAAGTATTTTTTTCAAGATATGCAAGTTACATTTGAAAACTTTCCACAACAAATTTTTGCAAATGAGGATAAACAACGTATTCTATAAAAATCAAACTGTGAAATGAATAGTATGATAGTTACATTCTTGACTGAATGAAGGTCACAGATCTTGTGGCTATTGTTTTACAGTAAATGAAAGACTAATGTGAATTTTGACGTATTTAATAATGACTATATTCTGACTCTAGCCTGTTGAATAACTTAAAAAAAGTACTATACAAAGCTTTAAATTTGCAGAATTGTATAAGTACTTAATAGTTTGATTTAACTTCCAATTTAGAATGAATCAATAGGCTTCTTAATTCTGTATATACTGTATAATTACTAATTTTCATTGGGGATTTAATTTTCATTGTTTTTATTGTATGAAGAGACCCACAAATTTATGTCTACCATGAAATGTAAGCTGTCATATTCTTCTTCCTCGAAATTAAAACACCACAAACCGAAATTATTTCCTCAAACCACAAAAATGTGACCCCATGAAAATATGTGATTTTACAGTATTACACATTTTCAAGACAACATATATTTATGTCCACCATGAAATGTAATATATGTCATATAACTACTCAATAATTCTTCTGCCAGAAAATTAAATACCCATGAATCCAAATTATTTCCTCACATTTTCAACATTTATTTGACATATTAGGCCCTACACATATAAAGATAGATAATTACACACTAAACAACTTGAAGAGCACCTGCTAGATGTAGTAATAGTTTTTGGTCCCTCACTGAACATACTTGTAACAATAATCATGTAGTGTTCAAAGAAGAATTTGCAGACACCAGTAGTAACATTAAACAGAGGTTTATGCCAAGCCTTAAATAAATTTAGAGCCCTGTTTTCACTTCGTAAATTAATTAAATTTAATAAAATCACCCTCTTAAACACATGTAATCCTGCATACTCATACATGCAAAACATGGGAAATGAAAATGGTACTGTATATCCACATCTATAAATAGTAAATGTTTATTAATATACACATACAGAATTTCCTCCCAGAATGCAATTTTCCTCGCATCAAGGCATATATGAAGTTCATGCTGTGAAATTCTAGAATTTCTTAAAGTATGCTTGTCAAATATCCTAACTTGCCACATGGTACACATGCAAGTACACGTCAATCCAACAAATGATTGTAGCAAAACATTTCATGGTTTTTATGTAAAGATATGTCATGCCAGTGAAAGGGAAGTGAAAAAATAATTCTCAATTTGATTTGGATATTGAAGCTTTTGTTTTAGATTTAGCTTATGTTTGTATAAAAATGCTATTGGTCAGTTTAATGCCCATATCTCTAACACAGTCTTTGCTATATAAATTATAACATGGGGTAAAAAATTATATGCCCAGGGTTCAATCAGACAATCTTAGCACACAAAACTGTTCACAGTTAACTTGTTAAAACCATGAATTATCTTGGCGTCCTCATTTTTATTTTCCTCAAAGGTGTTGTTCCTTAAAATTATTTACTCTAACAACATCTGAATATAGAGGAAAAGATCGCATAAATTTTAACTTTATATTATACACATACTAGGCATTTTAACACTCCTATTCTCTAAAGATCTTTAAAAGCTCAAAAAATAGGTTAAAATTCATTTCTAAAGAAAGAAAAAAGGAGATAAAAGAAAACAAAACTGGCACTCACAATAAGTTATACAACCATTATATACATGTACATAATTATTAACAATTGAAATAAATACATATTTCAGCACAAATACACACAACAAATAAGTAATTATGCCTTAAACTGTACAAAACAAAACATAAACCCCGACTTTTGATACACAGACAAACTGTAATCAATGTAGAATGCAGGCAAATACAGCTTCACTCAAATTCTTGAAATGTAAAAGAATCCGCATTTTATTTCACCTTTTCTTTAAAGGCCCTTTCAATCTTGTCGCTTCATCACTTACATTCAAATTTGTAAAAATTACATATGCAAAATGCACATTTTAAATGACTGTTAAAAAAATTTTTTAAACAAGGATGATCGATAGTTCATTTTAAAAAGTATTTACAATTTTAGTCCAATACATTTATATTTGAACATGTATAAACATGCATGTGCATACACTTTACCCACAATAAGATATTAATGTCTTAATGTTATGTGTTCATAATTAATTTATATGTATCATACAAGTTTATAGCGAAGTGAGTGAAATTAATATTTTTGGACAATTTATTTGAGTTCTGATTATTTTGGGGTTTTTTGTGTTTGTATTTTCTTTTAGATGTCTATGAAGTACGAAAAAGCAAATGAACCACTAGGGTTACCGAGTGCTAAAAATTATTTGAATCCCTATACACAACATGTATACAAGCGCAAATGTTTAAATATAGCATTTCCAAAAACTTTCTACTAAGTCTCTATAATCTGGTCTTTTTCTTTAAATCTTTATCATATAATAATTTAGGCATGTATCACAAAACATAAAACTCTCTTTCCTTTTCTACTTTCATTTTCACAGATACTGTTTTAGGTTTCTCGATCAATATCCTTTTAACAACTATGAAAGGTCAATTATTATTACTAAGCATCAGTTTGGCTCCACATTGCATGTTTTATTGTGTCATCCCACAGATTACATTTCCTCCCGAGCACCCCAGCTGATTGGTCAACTCTCCTGGGGCACTGCCCATTTCCCTCATTTCCCCATTCTCAACATTCTCAGTCTTGACAGATACCAAGTCCATCACATGATCAGTGACATCACTTCCTCCCGGAAAGAAGTTAGTGCCACCTTGTGGTAGAGAGGGGGCCTTATACTTGGCTAGACTAATGTCTGTGACCTCTGACCCTGGCTCCACTTTAACACTCCACTTCAAAGATTCTAGTTCATCAGACTTATTCTGGCAATTTGAGAATGAGGAATTTCCACTTCTCTGTTTACTATAGTTAGAAGCAGTCTCCACCACCTCAGACATTTTTTGAACTGCTGAAGTTGGAATCTGTGCATCTTTTTTCTCAACAGCATTGTCCACTCCATTTTTCTGTAAAGGATACACACCCTCTGTACTTGGCCTATTGAAAACTGTTGAGTTGGCCAAATTCTGTACAAGAAATGTTGGCCTGGGATCTGGTGAATTGATTATTTCTTTCTTGGAGGAACATTTTCCTAAAGGCAGAGAGTTTCCTATCTCTCCAACCTCCTTCTGTATGCTGGCATTTGCTGGATTCTGCTGATATGGATCAACAGTGTGCATGTTGCCATTGGCTGAACTCGAGGACTGATGCAGCAGATAATTTGTGAAATTACTGTACCTTTCACTACCTCTCCACCCAGGGGGCATGTCATAGGGTTTGTATCTCTGATTCATTGGTAAAGAGGCTGGCAGAGATCGTATAGACCCAGGACCAAGTAAATCCTTATTGCTTACAGGTCCAGGAATACTTTGGGGATGTTTTGTCATTCCATTTACTGAACCTGTGTTCAGCGATTCATTGATTCGATTCACAGAGTTTGGAATATCAGGGCTTTGCCCACCCATTGTTTGTAGAGCACCAGTTAAGGCCTGGGTCCGTTTCTGGATATCGTCTTGAATGTTCTTATATTTTCGTCCAAATTCGGCTTTCTCACTCTCTGCATTCTGCCGATCCACACTCATCAGACATAGCACACGCTTAGCGGGAAATCCACGGGCTCGTTGATTTTGAAACCATATTGTGATCCGTTCCAAGGAAACCAGGAGTTTTTCAGCCAATAGCATTCGTGTGTTCAGGGACGGGTTCTGATCCTCCTCGAAGAATCGACAGAGCACCATCAGTTGGAACAGGGTAAATTTCCCCCTTCTTCCACTCCCATCCTTTGGACCAGTTTTCTTGAACTCTAAAAAAAAAAATTAAAATAAAATACAGCATTGCATTTAATTTAAGTGGCATATAAATTTGTTGGTGATTTGCTAGCAGGTAAACAACTACAAGACAAAAGAAAAGTACATGAAAACTTTCATTTCATGAGTTTTGGTATATAACTCATTCAACTCATTTTAAATATCACATCTGCAGGATACATCCATTATGTTGAAATGTCAAAAATGGTAAATCGGCACTAATATTTTGAAATTTTAAATACAAGATTTTTTTCCCAAGTCATTTCTATATTAATTTTTAGTCTGAAATCTATAGGTGTGAAAATGTAGATTTGCCTTTCTTCAGAACTAAACAAGAAAGGCTACATGTGAATCCCCCTTTTACCTTTAGTCATGCTAAGTTGACTCAGCGTAATTCTTTGTTCCTCTGGGCTGTCTAACCACCTCCTCATGCGTATATAAGGTAACCGCCCCCTCCCACTCAGTTCTGACCAGTGTTTAGACTTGCCCTTCTCCAGGAGAAAGCTCAGATTGCCTTGACTGGTCGACTCCATGATGAATTTGGCCGCGAACCTCTGGGAGATTCCGGAACTCTCCAGCGACGCCTTGAATTCCTGGACTGTGGCAGGGATGTCCACAAAGTCCTGAAAAGATATCCCAAACATCAGTAGACTCGAACACTTTTTGGTTTCACAAAACAGTAAAAAAACCCACATGTAACCAGGTGCCAAGGACAGACCATTAATGGTAGTTATAACCTTAATCTCTGTATAAATTCATTATATTCGTTCAGTATCAATATGTTTTTAAAATCATGGGGAATGAAAATCACTTCACTGCTACACTGTAGTGATAATTTATTTTAATTATTATAAGCATATTTGGTATAAAAGTGTTTTACTTTATTTTTTTTTTTACTGAATTCTTGACATTATGATTTTATTTTTCTAACGATAATTAAAATCTGAAACATGTATTAAATTCAGTATCAAAAAACATGTAGTAAAACCATCCATGGAAAAGTTTTTCAATAAGTTTTTAAAATTTCTTTTACCATCGTGCTGGAGGAACCGGCATCTGCCTGGCGACTGGAATCGCTGGATCCGAATGGTTCCATTGTCTGGAAGCCCTCGTAACTGTCCGGAATATCGTCGTAATCTTTGTCGCTGCAGGCGTCGCGGTCTGGATTGCTATCTCCTGTGGAGTCCTCCTTCATGTCCGCAAAGTTACACTGGGGAGGAAAAAAAAATGGATGTCAATAGATGCGAACACTGTCTGGTATAAAATGTTAACAAAAAAATAAATTTGCAGAAGGGGGCCGGTGTGTGGCTAATATGACTGACTCGTGATTACATTTCTAGACATGATTATGTACATTAGAGGGGCTGATTCAAATTCAAAATGGGAAAATAAATGTGAGAAAAAGCTAGAAGTCCTTTTCTTTATGTAAATGCATGTACCTGAAGAAAAAAACCATCCAATCAACATCAATCAATTTGATTAATGCTTGCCTTGCTTACATGTATTCTGCATAATTTTATACACTGTTTTAACACTAATTTTACAATCTGAACTCAGAGGTCAAGTCCACATGACTGGCTGGTAATTATGTAATGGTAAAGGTTTCAAGAGTTTGTACAATGTGTTTGGATTGGGGAGGGGGGTGGGGGGTTACCTCATTAGAATTCTAAATATCTACATTCTGCATTATATATATCACACTATCAAATTTATTTTTTATTTTCCACAAGCCTGTACAATTTTCTTCTGACTTTATAAATACATGTTCCTTAAATATATTTTATCCTGATATATATGGAGAATTACTATCACAATGTTCATGTGCCTGAATGCCTTACACAGGGAACTTGACAAAGCATGTGCTCTGTCTGACTAATAAATGGCTACAATGAAAACGGTCAAAAATTGGGAAATGTACTTTAAGAAAAAAAAATATTTTATCGATTCATGTATGTATAAGCATTACCTTAAAGAAAATTTCATACTCAATTAACTTATATCAGAATTAGAAAACAGACCATGGACAAATATGTACCAGGCACTAGAATACGTGTACAGTGTATACTGTCATTAACAGTCTAATTCTCACCAAAAATGATGAAAAAATGACTATTAACGAAATCTCTAGAAGTCATAGGGTAGGCAGATTTAACCCGAAAGCAAATAGGCCAAGAGACATTATAGTCAAATTTCTGAGTTACAGAAATAAAGCAATTGTGTATGCTAAAAAAAGCAATCTTAAATCTTACAATCGAAATCCATCCAAGCAAACAGGCCCCATTTTCATAAACGAGGCATTAACTAAACAAAGAGCGTCACTATTGTGGAAAACGCGAAACGTAGTGAAGGAACAAGGACTGGATAGCTGCTGGACCTATGACGGGAGGATTTTCGCAAAAACAATCGGTAAACAGAGAAAGAAAATTTCTATAGGCTCAGAAGAAGATCTGATTCCTTTCCAAACAGGTGAAGATGTTCGCGGATGTGATGATAACGATCTGTCAATTGAAGACGCACAAGAAATCCAATCTTCAACACCTGTAAGCGATGCCCACAAGTAGCCATAAGGTAAAGACATGTAAATATCTTCACGTGTATAAATAAATCGCGATCTTCTGAACGCTTTACTTTAGCTACATTACTCAGGGTGTTCCAAGTGACACACAGACTTAGACCATGTTGGCTTTGTGTATGACACTTCTTAATTTAAATGTGATAAAAAGAAATTTAACATAGAAATATAAGTATAAACATGTATATAAAATATTTTTTTTTTAACTTCGGAGCTTCGCCAGTGCATTCCAAACTTGTTATGTACATACGTGTTCATTTAATGCTATTTGCTATAGCAGTCTGTCTTAACAGACCAAATACATTTAAATGTTTTGCTACGCTTTCGTACAACGCAAGCGCCGTGTTTTGTAAATACCAAGTTTACTGCTATGTCAGTTTCTGTCGCCACTTTTTGACATCTGTTTGTGTTTTCTTTGTTAACATCGTTTCGAGTTTTTTCATTGTAATCCGCCACCTTCATTATGTGGTGACAGCACGCATGATCTTTGACTATTTTTTCAGTTTTTATTTTTTTCACTATTGTTTTTATATGTTTCATGTTTACTTACATATTGAATTTACAACATATACTAGCCATACGTCTGTATCTGAATTGAGCGCTACCCGGTTTGCGGCGATTTACATTTTTTTCATTCTCCATTTTTTTTGATAATGGGTAATACTGTAGAACAATATCGTTCCGCTATCGGGGTTTTCTATATGAAATGTAGAGGAATACTGAGTAGGTCTTCATTCAAGATTTTCAACATTGCTGATTTGTTTTATTTTCTATACCAACTGAATGCATTATATCGAATTCATCTGAAAAAAATGGGTTCATATCTAATTATCATAAATTATTTTTCTCAGCTTTTCATATTTTTGAAAATACTCTTATCTGGGGATATTGAGACTAATCCTGGTCCATCTTTTGAGAATTCCCTTGATATTATACATTTGAATATAAGAAGTATCAGAAATAAAATAACTCGTTGATTTACTTAGTACAGGACTTTGATATATTATGCTTTACAGAAACCCATTTAAATTCAAATTTAACCAATGATGATCTTCATATAGAGGGATTTGGAAATATTTTTAGAAAGGATAGGAATTCATATGGTGGGGGAATCATGATATATGTCTCTAACTCTCTAAAAGTTACTCGACGGGATGATCTAGAACCACGAAACATAGAGAGTATTTGGATCGAAATCGAACAACCAAACAATAACTTATTTATTTGCTGTGTTTATCGTCCACCAAACTCGAGCAATGATTTTTGGGGAAAATTTTCATGGTCCATTGAAAGAATAAGTGATATGTCAAACAATTTTATAATACTTGGGGATCTTAATGTAGATTTTCTTCAAATAAATCAAAATCATGAAATTTATAATATCATGAATATGACTGGGCTGTCAAACGTAATAAACGAACCTACGAGAGTAACACAATTTACAAAAACTCTGATAGACCCTATTCTTATTAGTCGTGAAAAATTCATATTTGATTCGGGTACATTAATGGTTGACACAAACATCAGTGACCACAAAGCTACGTACATATATGTTAAACAAAATTACTGTAACAACTCTTCATACAAACGTAAGGTATGGAGCTATAAAGAAGCAAATATAGAAGAACTTAATATTTTAATAAACAACTTTGATTGGGAAAGCATTATTTCAAAATCAACTGATATTGAAACCGCAACAACAAACTTTACACAACAATTTATGCTAATTGTACATAAATGTATACCCGAAAAGACTGTTACAATAAGACCAAACGACAAACCATGGATGGATTCATTACTAAGAACAAATTTACGACTTAGGAATAGATTAAGAAATAAAGCACAGAAAACCAAGAAAGAATCAGATAAAGAAGAATTTCGAAAAGCTAGAAATAAAGTAAATAATATGAAAAAATATGCCAGAGCTAACTACTATGACAACATTGATTCTCATTTAAACGACGCAAACAAAAATAATAACAAACTGTACTGGAAATTACTAAAAGATGTCTTTCACACTAAAACTTCATCCGAAATACCCCCTATTAAACAGGTGAATGAGAATGGTGATCCTATATACGCATTTTCCGACAAAGAGAAAATTGAATTACTAAATAACTTTTTTACATCCATCTCTGATATAAAAGATGAGGAATACGAGCTACCTAATTTTGAGTCCAAAAATGTAGAAAAACTTTGTGACGTAAATATCCAAGAAAGTGAGATTATTGATATTATTTCTATCCTCCCCGTAAATAAAGCTGTGGGCCCTGATTGTATCAGCCACAAAATGTTAAAATCTTGTAAAGAATCCATAGCTAAGCCACTTTGTCTGTTATTTAATAAATCTCTTAGACTCAAAGTTTATCCTGAAAGTTGGAAACTAGCACATGTCCTTCCATTATTTAAAAAAGATGACCCATCAGTCACTTCAAATTATAGACCTGTATCTCTTTTGAGTTGTGTAAGTAAAATATTTGAGAGAGTTGTATTCAAACATATATATAATTTTTTTCACGCAAATAATTTGTTCTACAAATATCAGGCAGGTTTTCTGCCTGGTCACTCAACTGTGTACCAACTTTTAGAAACTTATCATACTATTGTAAAAAGTATTGATGAAGGGCAATATTGTTGTATGGTTTTTTGTGATTTATCAAAAGCTTTTGATAGGGTTTGGCATAGGGGTTTGATTCATAAATTAAAAATGTATGGTATCTCCGGTAATATGTTAGAATGGTTGGAAAGTTACTTGTACAATAGAAAACAGAAAGTTATGTATAAAAATTTATTTTCTTCTGTGAAAAATGTGCATGCTGGGGTACCTCAGGGCTCTGTCCTTGGCCCTCTTTTATTTTTGATATATGTGAATGATGTAGCTGAAAACATGATAACTGTTTGCAGACTATTTGCAGACGATAATTCTTTACAAAAAAGCTCGAGTGACGTTCGTCTCATTGAACATCATCTAAATCATGACTTAAAAATTCTGGATGAGTGGTCCAAAAAATGGTTAATGAAATTTAATCCAAGTAAAACAAAGGTATTATTCTTCAGCTTAAAAAATACAAACCAGTTACCTGAATTATTTTTTGAAGACTGTCAGTTAGAATATGTATCTCAACATAAACATCTTGGTGTTATTTTTTCAACCAAATTAGGTTGGTCAGATTATATTGATAGTATTGTCAGTAAAGGCTACAAAAAACTAGGACTTCTCAAGAAACTTAAATTTTCAGTGTCTAGAGATACGTTATCCAAACTTTACACTTCTTTTATTCGACCACAACTTGAGTATGCATCTGAAGTTTGGTCAGGCTGTTCGCTGGCAGATATTGATAAACTTGAAAAGCTTCAACTGACAGCCGCTAGAATAGTGACTGGTCTTTCAGTATTAGCATCAAGAAATTCGTTGTATATTGAAACAGGTTGGGAACCTCTTGTAATAAGAAGAGACAAAGCAAAACTTTTAACAATGTTTAAAATCCACAATAACCTAGTTCCTGATTACTTAAAAAACATTGTACCGATGGTTAGAAACACTGTTTCAAATTACAATACTCGAAATTCATTTGATTATTCTTTACCTAAATGCAGGCTTGAATTATATAACAAATCATTTGTCCCCGATACTGTTCGCAAATGGAATTCACTAAGCACCGAAACAAGGGAAATAACCTCAATAGGAATTTTTAAAAGAAAATTGAGTAATAATAAGGATAAGCCTCCCAAGTATTTTTCATATGGCAAAAGGTATCTGAACATTTTACATACAAAATTAAGACACAATTGTATTTTAAATAATGATCTGTATAGATGTAATATCATAAGTAATCCAAATTGTTCTTGTGGTATGAAAGAGGATAGTCATCATTTTTTCTTTGTTTGTAGAAAATATTTTGAACCTAGACGCCTAATGATGAATGCACTACTTTTAACTTATAATGTAAAAATGATTAATGTGCACAAATTGCTATGGGGAGATGATTCCTTATCTTCGCAGGAAAATGAAAAATTTTTCGGTATTGTTCAAAAATTTATTCAGGAATCAGGTCGTTTTAATTAACCCTATGTAAATTGTATTATCTCTATTGAAATTATTATATTTTTATAATATCAACACTATATTTATTATCACCATTATTAATACCTGGTAATTGATATTATTTCCTCATTCAGAAAATAATTATCTTTGTTCTTCTATGTATATGTATTTATTATTGTAAAATTTTGTAAAGTATGTTGTATGGCTATGCAGATTTTATATATGGGAGAGGACTACCTAAGTTGTTAGAACTTGTGTCCGATCCCTTTGACATATTGTCAATAAAATATGTTCAAAAAGTGTATACTATATCTGATTCATTAATTTTTCTTAAAATTTTCGTGTCACTTTGAAATCTTTACAATAAAAGTTTGATACAAGATATACAAAAAATTATCTTAAAAAAAAACTATGAACTTGTATAGACTTCTTTAAAAGGGATGGGGGTTCTGGAAATGAAAAATAAAATATCCGTTATTAGGACTGCTAGTTACTATGTACCGGTACAAGCTTACCATTTGTCGCATCTGAGCGACTTGGTTCACCCAGGCTGCCGTCCGCTCTAGAGCTTGAAGACTTTCCACCACGGAAGGATCCATCGGTGATCCAAGATTTTCCGTCTCCCGTCCGGGGCCTCACAAATTCCACCAGACAGGTGTGGTTTACTTTTCTCTAACACACCTGAGGAAATTAGAGAGAGAAAAAGTCAAGTCTCACGATGTATTACGTTGTGAACAAAACAGAGACAGTTTCATTTTTCCCCCATGTACAAAATTTTTCGGCCATATTATTATTTGTTTCTTGACGTGTACACACGTTCAATGTCCACATATTTAACGTCTAATCACTCGGTCGTCTGCCTCGAGGGAAAACTCGGTAGTTTAATCGGACCAATGAAAGACGCGTCAATCAATCTCAATATATCATAATCAATCGCTAATCAGAACGCGGCCGATGCATTATACTATGCTACCGTCTAACACTGCACGAGAAGGAGGAAAAATACCGTTAAATCTGATTAATAGAAGGATATATATTTTGTGGGCAAGTTTTAACATTTTTCTGTCTACGCTAAACAAGACAAATGCCCGACTGTCTCGTGTACTGTCGTCGGTGGGCGGGGCCTGTGCTCGGACTGTTCATTAAATGCATGTATACTGCACACGCCGACATTGACATGAACAGCTGTTTTAATATTACTTAATGTCAACCTCGAGAAAGATATATATTTACTTACATAGGTACATATTTGGCAGTTTGTCTGATACAGAGAGTGCGCGTGTGGCGGATCTTGACATAAAACATGCAGACAAAACGTCAATATTCCATGCGACTTAATCATTATCATGATTATGACTTAGCAATAGTTGAGAACAGGAATCTTTTAATAAATTTGTTTTTTTTAATTTGCAATTAAAACTTTTGAAATATTAAGTACTTTAAATTTCGCATGATTCTGCGTTTCTACACCCCCTTTTCTCTCTCTCATGGAAAGTTAATAAATATAATTTAGTAATTCCTGTAATTAGCATCATGATTAGAGTAGTTAATTAGTATCATATCAATCAATTTTTTTTTAAACTCTGCTTTTGTTTGAAAATCTTGTTCCAACTTATCATATTAAGACAAGTTAAACCACGAAAGTCAGATCTACGAGGGGGTTATCAAAAAGTTCGTGGACTGAGGCGATAACTTTAGTACTATATAGTCCGTGCTTTCAAAATTTATAGGGAACATAAAACAACAAAAAATAAAGAAATGTTGAAAAATTTAGCTTGATACGTTCATTATTTGCCAAATTATTATAAAATAATACCGACAATTTTTTTGATGAAACCCCAAGATGAGTGTGAACTTAAAACCGTCTTGATGATATAACTTTAAAGTGTCTTGCACAGTTGCTTTCCATACATATAATATTGCAGATTGTTGCAAATGGGATTATACATTTGGAGAGATCCTCGCTTGGTTATACCAGCATATTTTGCTTTTTGGAGTTAAAAATCTACCACACATAATTGTGGTAGTGTCAGATAAAAGGCATCCTACTAGCTTGGGCTAGTGGGTTAACCCTTTAGCTCAATCGGTAGAGCACTGGATTGGCAAGCCAGAGGTCCCGAGTTGGATCCCCAACAGAGGCAATAAATTGTCTCTGTTACATTTGGCGCCCATGTTGGGACCCGTGTGTTCTCTGGCGGATGAGAGTGATTGCCCTAGAACTTCACCCCACAGGTGTCGGCACTCCGAAAGAGATGAGGACATCTCATTCTCTGGAGGAGGACAATGTGGTAGTGTCAGATAAACGGTATCCTACTAGCTTGGGCTAGTGGGTTAATCCTTTAGCTCAATCAGTAGAACACTGGATTGGCAAGCCAGAGGTCCCGGGTTCAATCCCCAACAGAGGCAATAAATTGTGTCTGTTACATAATTAACGTCATTTTTGACGTGATTGGCTCTTCACATCACGACTTCAAATCGATATTAACTGTGCATCCCTTTTCTCTCTGAATCTATTTTGGCAATAAAGCAACTACTCTAAATGTATTTCATTTCCCTGTAGCTAATTTTTAAAATTTCTATGTCTCTACCAGTTTTTTCAATTGCAAAACTCTATAGAATGTTGGGAAAACAAACCCAACCCCCTTTTTGAGTTAACTTTCAATCCCTTAATTGTTTGGACACTCCATACAAAATTTATGATAAAATTTCATAGAACATACAACCTGAGGTAAAAATTGTATATCATACGGAGCAGTTGTGTCCCACAATATACCTGAATTAACAGGAGTTTAGATGTCAAATAGTTATAACAAGAGTATTTTCTTAATAACACTGTTTAAAAAAAAAACACCATGTTTGAGGTTGTGCTGCCTGGACATACCATTGCTTACAAAAAAATTACTAATTTATTGAAAAATTAAATTTTTTGTTTTGTGGTTTATTCTATTGATAGAAAAGACTATGCTAAATAATATTTAAAAATTCAATGATATACCCAGAGCAGTTTCAATTTTATGGTGCTATTCCACAGGTATTAGATGGGCTAGCTTACAAAAATTGTGTGGGGAAAAAAAAAAAACATTTTAACACCTCAAATTATTTTTCTAAGCAATCTAAAGGCCTGTGCGCTAGTCCACAAACTTCTGAAACCCCCTCGTAATATTAGAAATATACGGAAATGTATAAATGCAATGAACGAAGAGTAAACAGCTAGCATACCGGTATATGTACAATCCTTTTGAAAAAACCTCTGTATTTATGGTTCCAGCAAATACACCCACAGCACTATCAGTAGTATAATACAAATACAACAGACAAAATGTTTATTCCACAACAAGAACTAGAAAAATAATACTCATGGTAAAACCCTGATTAAATTGGAACATATATAATCATATGATGTTTTGTCAGCCCAAATCAATCAAAACATCACTGATCGAAAATTATTAGCAAGATCGATACATAAATATAATTGATTGATTTTTGATCCATCAAATGCTGCCAACAATAAAATGTTTGCTCTATGTGCAATAAAACCAGCTTTTACAGGAAACTGATAAATATGTGTGGGGGGGGGGGGAAGATGACTGACAAGGAATGGAAAAAAAGCAATCACAAGATCAAATCAGTCTATGACAAACTTATGCAACATTGTACATGTTCACAACATTAGTTTAAAACTGTACACTTTTTTAATAAAAAAAAAAAAATTATGTTCTTTTTTTTTATTATTTATCAATATCATTATAATTATTATGCTCGTTTGAAAATAAAGTACTTTTAATTACTTATTCAGAAAATAAAATTTATAGTTATTCCTTTAAAAATGTGTTTCTCTACAAATCTATACAGGAAAAATTCTAACATTTTTAATGTTTTGCTAAGCGGGCATAAAAAAAATTGATGTTAGACTGCTGAGTCAGAGTGAGATGTTGAACCGCTCGATGAGATGTTGGACCATTAATGTCAGAGAATGGGCGGAGCTTAATCTCATTTTCATTCATTGGTGTTCAGAAGTGACGGACCTGATCTTACATCACGACAGACAGTACAAAATACATTTATGTAAAAAAAAAATTAAAATGAAAGGTATAACAAAACATTTATTGACTGTGTTCTTGGGCAAAATGCATTTTGTCGACCCTCGCACCAAACTGTCTGCCCTCGGCCTAATGGCCTCAGGCAAACAGTTTGGTTCTTGGGTCCAACAAAACGCATGTTGCCCTTGAACTCAGTCAATAAATGTATAATGATATTGAATAGTGAATTAATAGTGAAATCATGACATAATCATGATGATAATGATATAAATATTATATTATAATTTTCTCAGTAAAGTTAACATATAATTCATCTTTTTGTTTTCTAACTTGAATAGATAACTCCCTCCTCTCTGATCGGCTGAGATCAAATTTCTCACTTTTTTCTGTAAGTAAATTTACCATCTCTTTCAGAGGCTAGTCAAGGTTTTTTTTTCCAGGTAGTAACATTATCAATTTTTATCTCCACACAATGCAGTTGGAAGGGATTTAGTGAAGTAATTTTGTTTGTTCATTTTTGACAAACTAGTTAATTGTGTACAAAACAGAAGGAATGTAATTTGCATATAGGGATCGATGTTGAATGCAGCCTTGAATTTTTTTTTTTTGATTTTTCTTTAAGGCCATTCCAAGTTTTTTCTCTGTTTAGCGTCCACCCATCTTTCAAAAACCTACCTACCTATTCGCAAAAAACACACAAGCCAAAATATAAAACACAGGCTTAAAAGTCATAAAAATGACGCCCTTCAAGTGATTTGATCTAACTAAACAGCTTTAATAGAAGAAATATCTATTCTTAAGCAAAAACAAGGCATTAAATGCTTAAAATACACCCAATATAACTTACTGCACAGAATTATTTGGAGAAATTGACAAAATCAAAAAATTTCGACTAAATTAATCAATTTCTGGACTCCTCACATTGTGTGTTTTTTCTTATATGGGGTGTCAAAAACCAAGGTGCACGCGGACACTAAACAAAGAAAAAACTTGGAATGGCCTAATCAATATTTCATATATCACAATAAATGGCAATACCAAATTCCCTGCTGATCAATACTCAGGTACCTTCAAATTCACCTGTTAATGGTGGCTTTGTCATATCTTTCTTATGCCTCTGGATCAGAATGTATAAATATATATTTAATGACGGAGTTCGATCTCTGTTATGCCAACATGCGTTTTGTTGGTCCAGAACCAAACTATCTGCCTGAGGCCATTAGGCCGAAGGTAAAAAGTTTGGTTCAAGGGTCAACAAAATGCATTTTGCCCAAGAACACAGTCAATAAATGTTTTGTTATACCTTTTATTTTAATAATTTGATACTGTATACGGGGAAATTTTTGCCCCTTTCGCCCTCGTCGGAAGTGGGCAAATTTAAAATGGGACGAATTCAATGTAAACAGTATAATATCTTAAACAAAAATCTTTCTGGGCGAATTTAAAACGGGGCAAACTTGTTTCCCAATGTAAAAGGGCGAAAATAACACGGGGCAAAAATAACCCTGTATACAGTACTCTTTTGGCACACATATATCTTGTACTGTCTTCAGTGATGTCAACCTCAGACCCGTCACTGTTGAACTTAAATGAATACAAATGAGATTAAGCTCCGCCCATTGTGTGATGCAAGTGGTCCAACATCTCATGGACAGGTCTAACATTTCACTCAGCGGTCAAACATTGATTTTTTATGCCTGCTGAGCAAAACATTAGAATTGATAGACTTTTTTCATATAAATTTGTATAGAAACAAATTTCTAAAGGTTTAACATTAAACAATATGCAATATATCACAAATGAAATTTAACACGCATTCTGCATACAAACATTTTTAGGTAATTTTAGATATACACATTTCAGGCACAGGTCCTTTACCAGTAACTGTTACGCTAAAATGGAATTGATCCTCTTTATAGTATTGAAAAACATTTATTCATTTTTTAAAAATAACATGACCTAAATCTGTTTATAAAATAAAAAGTGCCTGAAAAATACAATGTGATGAGTTTACACTTTAATATTCCATCCTCGCTAACAAATTTTTGTAATCCTTTAGTGCTATACACAAGAGTAAGATGAGATTTATTTGTACTATGTGTGTTCTTCCAATGGATGTACATTATTATTAATTCAAAAACAGAAAATGTAATAGCTTGGTTTCCTGGAGGTAACATCTTTTGGACATGTTTAGGAATTTAAACTCATGTGCAGCAGTAATCCACAAGTATGACATGTACTTTAAAATTTCTGTTGAAAAATGACATAAAAAGTATAACAAGAGGCCCACGGGCCTTATAGGTCACCTGAGTATTGTGTAACAACTTTCAAACAATTAACTTTGGTTCGTGTTTTAAACCAGAGGCCATGAAATTCACAATTTTGAAAGAGGCACTATTGCTTATCATAATTATAAACTTAGCATGCTTACTCTATTTACTTAATACCCAGAGATTGATCGGAGTATAAACAAAGAGAAAATGCACTTCCACTTTATAACCAGTTTTGTATCTCACCCCAAAAGAACCACTGACCCTGGGGCCACATATGTCAAAATTTTGCAAATTTTATCATAAAATGGTTGATTAATGCCAAATAGCAGATTTCAAAGCATAAATTTAATTTCAGACTATGTAACCCCCCAGGGGGGGGGGGGGCATAAAAAAATAACCATTTTGCTAGATGCACCTTTCTTCATCAGAAATACATATACTTGGATCACTGGCATATAACCCAAAGGAGCAAAGGAAAAGATATTCAAAGAATTAATGTATTTTCACTATATAATCAAAAAAGCCCCGCCCTAACACCATAATACTGATCCTGGGGCCATAAAATTCTGAATTTCGGAAGAGACACTCTACCTCATCATAACTATGTGCTTAGTTCGTTTATTTAATACCCAGAAGCAGAGAAGAAGATTTTCATAGAATACATGCATTTTCACTATATAATCAATAGGGCCCCACCCTAAAACCAGAACCCCTGACCCTGGGGCCATAAAATTCACAATTTTTGTAGAGGCACTCTTGCTCATCATAACTATGTACTTAGTTGGTTTATTTAATACCCAGAAGCAGAGAAGAAGATTTTCAAAGAAATACATGCATTTTCACTATATAATCAATAAAGGGCCCCGCCCTAACACCAGAACCTCTGACCCTGGGGCCATAAAATTCACAATTTTGATAGAAGCACTCTTGCTTATCATAACTATATACTTAGTTGGTTTATTTAATACCCAGGAGCAGAGAACAAGATTTTCAAAGAAGACATGCATTTTCACTATATAATCAATAGAGGGCCCCACCCTAAAACCAGAACCCCTGACCCTGGGGCCATAAAATTCACAATTTTGGTAAAGGCCCTCTTGCTCATCATAACTATGTACTTAGTTGGTTTATTTAATACCCAGGAACAGAGAAGAAGATTTTCATAGAAATAATGCATTTTCGCTATATAATCAATATAGGGCCCCACCCTAACACCAGAACCCCTGATCCTGGGGCCATAAAATTCAAAATTTTGGTAGAGGCCCTCTTGCTCATCATAACTATGTACTTAGTTGGTTTATTTAATACCCAGGAACAGAGAAGAAGATTTTCAAAGAAATAATGCATTTTCACTATATAATCAATATAGGGCCCCGCCCCAACACCAGAACCCCTGACCCTGGGGCCATAAAATTCACAATTTTGGTATAGGCACTCTTGCTCATCATAACTATGTACTTAGCTGGTTTATTTAATACTCAGGAGCAGAGAAGAAGATTTTCAAAGAAATAAGGCATTTTCACTATATACTTATTTAGCCCCGCCCTAGCACTAGAACCCCTGACCCTGGGGCCATGAATTTCACAATTTTGGTAGAGGACTCAATGCTGATTACAATCATGCAAACAGTTTGACTGCTTGATGTCCAGGAGTAAAGAAAAGATTTTTAAAGATTTCATTAATTTTAGTGGTTTTTGCCCCACCCCTCAGGCCCCAGGGGGGCAGGGACCATGAAATTCACAATTTTTGTTCCCCTTCACCCATAGATGCTTTGTGCCAAATTTGGTTGAAACTGAATGAGTGGTTGCAGAGAAGAAGCTGGAAATGTTTAAATGTTAACGCACGACGGACGACGTACGACGACGGACAACAACGGATAGCAATAGGTCACCTGAGTTTACTCAGGTGACCTAAAAAGTATTGACTTATATTGAAAGGGCATTCCTTCTAAAGCCATCTTTGAATGAGTATTCTTTAAATTATTAATATTTCAATTAATTGTTTTCATCCAAAAAAGAAGCAGTGGTATTAAAAATTATTTTTACGATGTCCTCAAAAGAAATTATGTAAAATTAAATTTTAACGAATAATATCATACAAGTTACCAAGTGCTGAACAGTCAGGGGCATAACTCAAACAAGTTATTTTCAAAAATAACTCAAATGAGTTATTTTACATTATTTCACACACACAAATTTTTTTTTGAAAAATAACTTAAATAAGTTATTTTTATATCCTACTTGGATATTGATTTCTTGGAAATTTCATGTTTCCTGCCAATTTGCATTGCATTTTGGGATTCCGTTATGTAATACTAGATGGAGTGCACCGACTGCAATGGAGAATTGGTGAGGTGGAGATAAACAGCATTTTACTCCTTATTTTGTGGTTTTATCCATATGGTGTATATGTCCAATTTTAATCATTAAATAAAAAAAATTCCCACTTTTCCCAAGACTTTGAACACTTTTTCTGCATTAAGCAAGGTTTATATTTAGTCAAACATTTGTTTTCGTCTTGGTGCACGAGCAAAATCCTTTGGTGCACGGGGTGTGAAGTTAGAGAGGAATGACACAAAATAACTTAAATAAGTTATTTATTTATTGAAGCTATTTTGGAAAAATAATGTGTTTGAGTTATTAAGGTTGGGAAAAAGTAGGTCATAGCAAAGAGAAGTAACTCATTGAGACAAAAAAATAACTCATTTGAGTTATTTTTGAAAATAACTTGTTTAAGTTATGCCCCTGACTGCTGAATGTATTCAATCTTCAAGTGCAATTTTAACACAGAAGACTTCTGTAGAAATATTCTATTTAATCGTAGAAATATTTCATCACTCTTTTTCAGCTTTTTGCAGTGATAGATATTGTAGTTTTAAAGCATACATACACTTAATAGACTATAAAAATATTTTGAGGAAGTGAAAATATTCTTGTAGTTCATCATTCAAAGCGAAACACCAAAGATGAAAAAAAAAGTAGAGGGTAAGCGAGTAAAAATTCCTGTATACAGCAATGTGTTTTATATTACTGAAAAGAGGAACAATTTTCTTTTAGCGTAACCATTACTAATAAAAGGAATTGTGCCCAACTTGATAAAGCCTGTGGGGTGTTGATCTAGGAAGAATTCGTTTTTTAGTCTCATTGATTCGGTTTAGTACCCGACCTAATTCCTAAGACGAAATATTATTTTTCACTTGATAAACGATATATGACGTATAAATTGTAAGATTGAAAAAGACATAGCTTTACAAAAAAAATACCCGAAATATTCACAACTTTTGTATAGTGCACCATATTGACATCAACAAAGAAATAGACTTTGCCGCGAGATTATCTTAGAAAACCCAGTTTGAGCTCAAGTTTCACGGGGCATGAGATTGATATAACCCAATAGTGTTTCAAAACAACTTACCTGTACACTAATGTGTACTTTAAAATACAGAAATTTGACGTTTTTTCTTCACAAGTTCGACCCAAGACGGCGGGTGAAGGCCTACCAGAAGTCGTCCACGCAACGTAAATTTTAGAATTCTATTGTAAATAATAAAATTCCGGAATAAAAATGAAACGAATGTTATTATTAAAAAGGTATTTTGTAAGAAACTGTGTGATCCATACTTGAAGGCTGAATTTCTTAAAATAATAGACGTCAAATATATTAGTGTCCCCACCTTTTCCGAAACATGAATTTTACTTTATAGAACATTTTCAAAGGCCTTTTTTGTTTTTGTTTTGGTTTATGATAAGCTCTTTACTTTAAAAGTTATCGCCCTTGACGTTTCAGCTCTTTCGTGTCTATTGAACAACGCTTGAAAAAATAACAGACACAGACGACAAAAATGAGGGTATGTGTCTGATGCCAAAGCCCTTTATCTTCGCAGTTTCAGTCTATTTTTTTTACTGTTACGCAACAGAATGAATTAATTCTAACGGTGAGTAACGTTATCTTCTGTAGATCTAACTACAGGAGTTCGCGTACCTATCAATTTGACCGAAATTTTCAGTAAATAAAAAGATACGTAATACCTATAATGTTATTATTATAGGCCTAGGTATTACGTATTTTTTTTTTATTTACTGAAAATTTCGGTCAAATTGATAGGTACGCGAACTCCTGTGATCTAACGTTAGTGTTTCTAATGGCGGTGTAATGTAACGACGAAAAATGACCCCCGTAGAATATTGGCCAGGGGGTCATTTTTTTTACATAGAAAAATGACCTAAGGTCAATATTCTACGACAAGTATAGAGTATAGACCTAGGGTCGATCGTAGAAAAACATTCCAGACCAGTATTGAGGTAATTCTACGACTCCACTAACAAGTGTTACAACGCGAAATGTAATAACAACGCAAAATGTAATAAACCTAGATTATTACATTTTGCGTTATTAGCCTACATTCTGCGTTCATTTCGACGCAGAATGTAATGACGCAAAATGTAAATCACACTTTTGAGGATTATTTAAACAATAAAATGCTTTCTTTGTTTTGTTACTGGAATGAACGGAAGCAGCTGTTGCAGAAAAAATACATAACCCGCGTAAGCGGGTTATGTAAATTTTTTCTGCAATAGCTGCGACCGTTCATTCCAGTAACAACAAACAAAGAAAGACATTTTATTGTTTATATTTATATATGTTTAAATTATCATTTTAAGTAGGATCAAAAATATTAATTATTGTGTTAATGATGCGAACGTCTTTGTACGTTTCATTGATGGAACGGCCACTGATCAAGAAATCTGTACAGGTGATATGCCTAATGTAGTTTATGCAGGGATGAACGCAATCGGTTTTCTTAAGAAATAAAGAAGAAAATATTCAGTGGATGTAAATATTACATTTTGCATTATTTCACTTTGCGTCGAGATCAACGCAAAATGTAATAACAGGATTTTTTGATTATTACATTTTGCGTTGTTACATTTTGCGTCGAGATTTAGAAAAATGCAAGAACGCAAAATGCAATAACACACTTTTTGGTCAGGCAGATTGAGATTTCTTGCAATTAATGAATTTTATAATTTATTGAATTTAATTAACTACATAGGTAATACATGTATTCAAAGCATAGGTGTTGCAAATTAGTAACGTGTGTGTGTGTGGGCGGGGTTGTTTGGGGAGGGGGGGGGGGGTACTGACGAGTGTGCTTTTTATAGACACATGCAATGAATCTAAAAAAAATCATTTTTACTGGCAGGTGTAAATATACAGCAGGAAGGGGGTTTATTGACAATTATGATACATATATATTATTATAACAGTAACTTGATCTGAAGGGTCGTATCACATCGAGTTGACAGGCGCGGATCATCAGATCTAACGAGACGCGAAGCGTCGAGTTTGATCTGATGATCCGCGCCTGTCAACGAGACGTGATACGGCTCTTCGGATCAAGTTACTGTTATAATGATAAATTTATTATATACCCCCTTGTAACTGGCTAAATATATTAAAATAATCCTTCAGAGACCAATGGTATAATATTAATCCAATAAACAAAGCATTAAAACAAAGGACTTTTTAACGCGCAAGAAAAATAACGTCATGTTTCTGCGTACTACGTCATCAGTTTCAGAGAGTGGTGATATGGATTCAGAAAACCACAGTGTGGTGATCCGGAAAGTCGGATCACGACGTTACGTGATTGCATGAATTCAACAGTAAAATCGAGTGATACACGTTAGGTATATAATAAAATGATAAACATACGAAGTAAACACCCCACTCCTCCTCGCTTGACACACACATACACTTCTAATTTGTTAACCAATGTAAACATTCCGAACATACATATCAAGAGCTTTTAATGGACCTATGGTCAATCTTTGGTAACCCTCTGGCTGCGACGTCAGTGTACAGAAATTATAACGTCACTGCGAGATTAAAACGACGTCACAATTTTTTTTGACGTTATTTTGCGGGCTTTTCTCTATTTCGGGTTAACGCTAAGTGCGCGTCTTTTACAGGAATGTGTACAGGGGAATTAATTCATATGTATGCTATATATCAACAAAGCTATGAAGAAGTTTTTTATTTATACAAAGATTGACCATAGGTCCATTAAAAGCTCTTGATATGTATGTTCGGTATGTTTACATTGGTTAACAAATTAGAAGTGTATGTGTGTGTCAAGTGAGGAGGAGTGGGGTGTTTACTTCGTATGTTTATCATTTTATTATATACCTAACGTGTATCACTCGATTTTACTGTTGAATTCATGCAATCACGTAACGTCGTGATCCGACTTTCCGGATCACCACACTGTGGTTTTCTGAATCCATATCACCACTCTCTGAAACTGATGACGTAGTACGCAGAAACATGACGTTATTTTTCTTGCGCGTTAAAAAGTCCTTTGTTTTAATGCTTTGTTTATTGGATTAATATTATACCATTGGTCTCTGAAGGATTATTTTAATATATTTAGCCAGTTACAAGGGGGTATATAATAAATTGGAACGTATTTAAAAAAAACGTATAGAAAAAAAGCTGCTATTCATAGTGTCTTGTAAAGAGAATTCATTGACAAGCACATTTTATTCTTCCTGCAAAATATCGTATTGTTTCTAACATGAAATCTAATAAACGTGTTGATCACGTTTATTCGATAATTTCAAGCAGGCATAACAGAAAAAAAATATGCATTGGGTAAAGATCCAGTTTAAAACTTATACATGTATTAAATCCTGTTGTTGCTGCATGCTGAATACAGTTCCCTGAAGCATATTCATGCGCGGATCTAGAGGGGGGGGGGGGGGGGTCAGGACCCCCCCCCCCCTTGAATTTACCAGGTTAAAAAATGTATATACTAAAACAAGAAAATAGTTACCATGGACCCCCCTTGGAAAACGCAGACCCCCCTGGTAAACGCGAATAGGTGTAAAATGGGTATGATAAGTGAAAGATTTGGGGTAATAGAAGTCACCACTCCCCCCACCCCCTCCCACCCCCACGAAATAGGTTTTTGACGTTTGGGCGAGTTTACGTTTTTTTTTTTTGCTTGTCAAGAAATTTCTGGGATTGGATTATTTTTTTTGACTGAGGTAGACCACCCTGGAAAAAATTTCTGGATCCGCGCCTGATATTGATGTTACAGAATATATCACAAGATCTTGCATGTTTGTTTACACGATGTTCAAATCGTGTGTTCAGGGTTCATCTTATATTGGAAAAAACAAATAATAAACGTCCATATTAAGGACACAGGTGGGCGAACTATAACCATATACCGATTAAATCCCCCCCCCCCCCGGCATCCCAACCCCGGGGTCGTATTTACATATCATATCACCTGATTGCACCTTGGTGCAGTGTTTCATTTTTTTAAGTGGATTAGTACATCTGAAATATCATTAAAATTAATCGCTTCACTGGCAACGAGGGGGGGGGTTCCAAAATTTACTTCTTTTACATAGTTGTCAGGTCTATATTCAATTATTTTTACAATGAAACATTGACTACCGGTATATAAATTGGAGCTAAATTAATTTTTATAGTAGAATTGCTGTTAAGGTTTGGGGGGGGGGGGGGTACGTAAATTTTGAAAGCTTGATATTGACAATGCACAAAAACTTTGTGTGGTTGTATTAGTGATATAGCAATAACTTCAGAAGTTTTCAATACGATAAAATGAGGGGTTTTAAATCTGACAAGTTAGCAAAAAAAATGTCAATATCTTGAAATGTACAATGACTTTACGAAAACAAAGAATAAGGGGGGGGGGGCAACCTACAGCCAAATAGACAGGAAGAATACAATATATATATACAAATACAATATATACTCAGAAAAAACAGGGGGGAATGTATCCCTTTTCGGGATCTTCTAAAACGAACGCATATAGAGTACGATGCTAACTTCGAATTCGATATTTAAGATTTTTTTTAGCTAGACGAAATAGAAATGTAGAATAAAATCTATAAATAAAATCTAATAGACTTGTGCGTTTGGACATGCCGAGGGGTATCGCATGGAGTCATTGCAATGGAGAAACGCTACTTGAATTGAGTCTGGGGGTCATGTTGCGAAAATAGAACCTGCTCGGCTCTGCAATGTGACTTGTTTCCTCTTAATTCCAAGAAGTCTGTAAAGCTTTTAAATTGATCAGGTACAGATTATCTATTAATTATTCGAAGATTTGACTGGGATTTTTCGATAAAAGTTGGGTTTAACAGAGTCCTAGGTCGATCGAGAAATTGGTTTGCTAGAGTGTGATTGAGATTCGCATGTCCTGTATAGCTACTTCAAAATTGACCCAAAGGCAGATGAAAATCAGTTTCCTATTTAAACTAAAAATCAAGATAGTTTTTAGAAGCAATCTTTTTTAAATCTTGGAAAAAATGTGTAAATGAATAAAAATTGAATATTGTAATTTTTTTTCAAATATTTCTAAATTATACACTGTAATGTGCTTTTACCCCCAAAAGGACGGAAGGAATTCTTAGTATTTTCATTCAGTACTCTTTTGAATTTTTTTTATAACATTTTTTATCAAATTTAATTTCCCTGAACAAAATTGACTATTTTCCTTAATTTATGCTTACAGATACATGTTATGTATAACCGATATTTATGTTAGAACTGAATTGAGAAAAGGTGTTCACTAAAAGAAAAACCTAGTGAATTTAATTAGTGAACATCGTAAATCCTTTGTCGTGAATTGAAAGCTTTCAGATAAGAAAGTGAGTTGCGGAGCTAGGGTCGTATTGATAGTTATAATTAGATACCGGCCTAGTGAAAGTTGCTTATAAATTCTAGATTCACTAATGTTATCTTACTAGTAGATTTTCCCAATACATGTACCTAGTAAAACTACTTTTAAGGTTGTGATTATATGGACAGTAAAATTTACTAGTTTTCTTAGTCTACTTATCTTTACAGTGTTTTGTTTGCGCATTTCAAACTTGCAAATCAATGCATAAAAATGCA